CGTCTTTTTCATGAACATGCTCTTTTCAGAGAGCTGTTATTGTGACTGCAGACATGTCAGTTTTGTTGCAGTTTCAGTTTGGATATGACTCAAAACAGCACTCATGATTAGATAAAACTGAACTTTTTACTGTATTCCTTGCCTCAAAATTAGCATACCGCAGTTGTCTTCCTGAAAATAGTTTCATCATTTAGTGGAGCTGTTTTCCATGTAAGAGGAAATGTGTGCCGAATTTGTACTAAAAAGGAACATGGGGTCTTGAGTCTGTTTCCCTCTGAATGCATGCACTTATCCAAAGGGGAACTGTCAGCTAGTACAATGTTCAGCCAGCCCTTCCTTCAATGTGTACAGAATGAATTCACCGGCTCTCCATGTTTACCTGCTCTCGCTCCTGTAGAGACAGAGTGTTAGACACCTTAGGGCCAACTCTCCCATTGTGTTCAGTCTTGGTGAATGGATTTGGAGGGGAAGTTGGGCAACCCTGCAGGCATTCTGGTCTCATGATAAGAAGTACCCACAGATCAACTCTTGCAGTGCCTTTCCTGTTGCTAAGCCAGTGCGGTCTCGGACCACATCTGGTAAACCAGAGGAATGGCTTTGTGCCTTGGAAGGGGTTTTAAAGGTGGACTCTTCATCCTCCTCCTAGAGGAAAGTTTGTTGGGTTTGTTCCCCCCCCCCCCCCCCCCCTAGTTAAACATGTCTGTAGAGGACTGTGTTCATCTGACCTGTTTTCAGTCTATCTATCTATCTCTATCCATCCATCTATCTGTCCATTTGTCTGTCTATCAATATTTCATAAACCAGAGGAGTTCCAGCCCTGATACCAGCCATGAACCTCACAAAACAATTATGCATTATAGAAAATAAGCAGATAACAACTGTGGTTTGATGCGTTTACTGTTGATGGATGGAGAGAAGCATTGTGGAGCTCTAATTGAGTGGCCGCAGATGGCATGAGGAATAAAAGTGGCTGGTGCAGTGGTGAGGAAACTGACACCCAGGCCAAATTACAAAGCAATGAATGAATGGTTTGGGTCAGGTTACAAAATATAAATACATTTTTTTTTGCAAAGCTCAGAATGATGCTGCTTTGAATTAATTTGTTTTTGGATTTTTAGTTGTACTTTTGGATTTCTGTCACTTTATTTGAGTGAGACTAGCTTCCCTGAAATGTTCTTTTTGTTTGGTGTTTTTATGCCTCTGCATTAGCATTACGTTCTCATTGGCAAAATACAACTGATTTGTGTTGAAGTGAAACAAGGTCTGTGTTACGTGAAACCTGATGACTGCAGTCTGGAAAAATTGAATATAGATGGCTGATTGATTTGGTTGCGTCTTTCTTGCAACTGCAAAACCATTCTCACAGGAAGTCAGGCTGAACTGTTAATACACCTCAGAAGACGAGTGGGATTTAACAGTCTAATTCAATTCTAAACTCTGACTCCTGGCTTGTCTTCATCTGCATCCGATTATAGATTGTGCTCACATGAAATGAATCAGTCATGTAATTTTCATGAAACAATCTTAGAAAAACTGGAAGCCCATGAAAAAAGGGTGTCATTTATTTTTCATCTTTTTGTCAAGCGGGTTAATGAATATTTTAGGGTTGTGTGTTTGGCCGGAGTGTTGAAACTTTGTAAAATTAGCCAGCAGTGCAAGTAGTAGCCTAAGTCCATCCCTGAGGAGCGGTGGAAGGCTGTCAGAACCACAGGGGTAGCCTACAGCTGGACTATAGGAGGACAGGCACACCGAATTCCTCCACAACCTTTCTCAGCACATTATCTACAACACATGAACTTTTGCATGATTTTTTTCTAGTTTGTCTTAAGCTGACTACATAGTTTATTTAATACTTCATAGTGGCGGAATGTATTTAGTGCGATCTCAGTAGAAAGAGTTTTTAATCACAGGAACATTTGAGAAAATAGCTTTTAAAACTTTACTTTATTAACCCTCTTGTCATTTGTGATTCATTTGACTGGTCCTTTGTAAAAAATTTCATCGGAATGGTACGAAACTTGGTAAAGGTTTTTGCTGCTTGCTGTGTAAACACACAAAAATTATGGACATGATTCGAAAAGGTTTAATGGTCCTGAGAAAAATAGTCACACTTGAATTGTTTGCGTTAAAAAAATGACAATGAAATGAATTTCATCTATTGGAAACGTTTGTAACTGCGCAGAAACAAGTTCTTACTGAAAGCTCATTTTTTGAGATATCAACTTCAAATTTGGAACACAGCTTGTTTAGATTTATGGCTTTGATTTTCTCACAGTTTTAGAGTAAAATGTGGTTTGGAAAATATACATTGAATATAAAAATTGTGTTTTTGTGCATTTTTCATAACAATAAATGTAAAATTGTATTACATTTTTCAAGTTCACTTTTTTAAATACTTGTTTCACTTTAGCAATTATCTGCCGAGATCATCTTTAAAAACAGACCTAACTTAGGACGGTACTCCAAAGCATTAAAGATTTATGACTGTTTAAGTTGGAAATTTCATTTTCAGGTTCCATTTTCATTCCATGCTCAAAAAATGAATAAATGGATTATAAATACTGTATAAACATAATTTGGTACCATAAAATCACCTAAAAATACTGAATAAAAAATATTATCAAACTAAAATATGCCTACAGTACAATAATTAAAAAACAAAAAAATGTTGATCATTTTTGACTGACATGCGAACATTACAGGGTTCATTTATTATATAATTTGTTCTACCTTGTTTCTGCCATATAGCCTTTGGTGCTGACATTTTTAAGTGGTGGTTCATTGGCTGATGTTTTTGTACATAAAAGCTCTGAAATGCAATAAACATGCATTTTACTTATTGCATCTACTCAAACTTCACAAAACAGATAACTTTGGGGGCAGATAACTTTTCTGTTAATCGGCCTGACTGATATATTGGTCTCTCATTTGGCGGACAACTTTAGTGTTTCTCTGAATGGGTGGGGACTTAAATGTTTCTCTATTTGTGCTGTACTATCTTGAGTTGAAGCGGAAAAGAGAAGTGAGATTTGGGATAGAGGCTGTTGGGGATGGGGTGGTGTGTGTGTGTGTGAGGGGGGAGCTGGCCAGATTATCCCTCTCATGCAAATGTACTCTCTCCACGGTTAGGTCCCAGTGAAGCGTGGGGGGCTCTGTGTTGGCCACAGCTGCTTCTCGTTTCTACCCAATCACACAGCAGCCATCTGGACACGCATGTCGTTGCGAAGAGCTGGTGAGTTCTTGGGTCGGGGTCACTCATGCTCTCTTGACAGATCTGCTCTTGTTTGGTTTACTCCATCTCCCTTAAACTATAATTTGTAAGAGTGCACAATGGCCAGAGTACAAATAGTTCAGAAAGATCATTTCATTTGTTAACACCTGAGAAATAGTGATTCCTCTTCGAATTCCAGAGTTCTGAAAATGCCATAGGCTACACATTAAATGGAAAAGAATCCCAGTTTAGAAAAGACCCATTAGCCTACATTAGCCAAATTATTTGTTACTATATAAGTATTCAGTTTTATTCTCAAATTCTAGTGTACATTTCTTCCAAGCAATTTATCTGAAAGGTGACAGACATCTTTGGCTTGATGTTCATTTAGCTCAATTATTTAGATAAAAAGTGATTATCTAGAAGCGTGATGCTTGGATGCCACATCCATTCTAATTAAGTTCTGTACTAATTATTTTAACATTTTTATGAAGTATAAACATAACTTCATTAATTCATTTTTTGTTACATAGGCTACTCAATCTGCATTAGCAAATTAATTATAATGTTAAAGGGATATTTCACCCAAAAATGAAAATGTCTTTCTTCTGCTGAACACAAAAGAAGATATTTTGAAGAATGTCGGTAACACAGTTGATGGGCCCATTGCCAACAATTACCAACATTCTTCAAAATATCTTCCGCAGAAGAAAGAAACTCAGGCCACATTTACACATAGCCAGGTATTTAGAGAAACATAACGTTTGAGAACCTAAAACCCCGTTTCTCCCAGTTGACACGGCCACACATAACCGGCGTTATTTAGAAACCTCCACTTTGGCCGCAGTTTAATCGTCTTCTGTGATAAAAACGGGGTTTTCGTGTAAATGAGAGGCCAAACCGCAGGGAAATATCTGATTCTTCCCTTCGTGTAAACTGGGCATCATACAGGTTTGGAACAACTTGAGGGTGAGTAAATGATGACCGAATTTTCATTTTTGGGTGAACTATCCCTTTAAACAAAATTTGCTTTACAAAACATGACACATTATCAGAGGTCGAAAAAATGTAAAATATCTTTTATTAATATTTTTGCAAGCATATATATTCTAGTATGTTGATGTAAATATGTACGAGTAAATTGCTGCCAAACTTTTAAATAGAATATAAAACAAGCAGAAATCAGCTGTGAAATAAAACAAGTTCAATATGTACTGCCATGTGGTTCAATATACAGGGGAGCATTTCAAGAGGGGGGTCATCTTACATAAAATGGAAAAATTGTGAAACAGTTTCATTGTAATAAATTATAAAATGATATGAACTTGTTCAGACTGCTTAATATAAAAAATATAATATATTTAAAATTAAATGAAAAAAATGCAGTGTTTTCATAACAGTTGGAACACAGGGAAGTGAGAGATACAGAAGATGAATTTACATAATTTCTATTGCAAATACTATTTTAAATGTATCACAATTGTACGCACTATTTTATTAGTAGTATTATTCTTTGTCTAAGTAACTTTAGGGCAGTTAAAAACGTAAATTTTATTTGGGATGATTTATAAATGTTGTTCTTTTTTTAAACACTTAATGTCTATTTTCAGTTACAGTTCTTTCAATTTTTTTGTAAAGTCTCACAGGTTTACATACAAATCACACCATTGTAGAAAAATAGACAAGACAGTGAAATATATAGACTAACTGTATGTACATATGTCCAAATCAATGTTACATGAAACTTTTAAAAAAATCCAGTGTTTGGACAGTGTCTAAAAAATTCTGAAATGTTGAATTTTTTCGTGTGTGTGTGTGTGTGTGTGTGTGTGTGTGTGAACGTGTAGTCAAGTGTATGTGGAACGTCTCTGTGTGTTAACTCAGAAGCGGTGCTCTCCGCGCGTGATGTGCGATGAGAACTCGTAGCGGTCCTGACTGCGGTAACCACACAGGTTGCACTCGAAGGGGTCTCGGAAGCCATGGCATCCCATGTGGATGGTGTACATAACGTGGTCCAGGAACAAAACTCTGCAATGGATGCAGCGATATGCCCTCAATTCTTCTCCCTCTCCACTCAGAACCTTAAACCCCTCCGGAGTCGCCATACTCAGCTCCATACCTGCTGCCCGCAAGGCCTCGAAATGCCTCTGCTGCTCTTCTTTCACCACGGGCAGACCTCCGTTACGCATACTTGGAGCCATGTGATTGGTCAGGTAGATGAGACCCCCTGCGGTCGCTCCCCCGGCCGCCCGCTCCTCGTTGCTCTCGGTGTCAGTGGAGTCCTGGCCGCTGGGGCTGGGGGAGCCGTCCTTCTCGACCGAGGCTGATTTGGACTTGGACAGCAGAAGGAGGTGCTCGGCGGCGCTGTCTTTAGCAGACACGCCGTTGCCTTCAGCTGATTGTGTCTTGTGGAGGTTGTAAATAGGGCTGACCACCATGTCAGAGGAGCCAGGGGAGGTCTGAACCAGAGGCCGCAAGGACTCCGCTCCCAGGTAGCTAATCGCACTGTTGATGGCCTGATCGATCACATGAGGCTGCATGAGCTCGCCTGAGCCGCCCTCGAACGACAGCTCCGACAAACGATTCTCTCCTGTTGGAGAAAGACAAATGAGTAAAGGTTTTAACTCTGGAAAATAAAAACTGATTTATTTATTTGCATCAACAGACCGTCCTTTTTGCACCATTTCTGGTAGGCACAAATTCTGACATTTGACTGGTCTTTAAACTATTAACTATTATTACTGTGGAAATGAAAGACACTTTGGAGAACTTCTAGGTACCTTTCAAAATGAACAGTTCTCAGAGGAACCAAATGGAGATTCTGCAAGAACTATTAAAACACCTCATCATAATGGTTCATAAACGTTTTGAGACACAGTCTTAAAAATAAAGGCTCCAAAAAAAGATTTCCGCAGCAATGGCATTGAAGATCCATTTTAGGTTCCCTAAATAACTGAGTTTCTAAGTGCAAAGAATAATAATCTGAAGAACATTTTTCACAACAAAAACCTGCAATGGAAAGATGTCATGGATGTTAAAGTTTTTTATGATGATTTCATGCCAATAATGAACCTTTATTTTTAAGGGTGCTTATTTAGCTGTGCTCTCTTAAAAAATACAATTTCCAAAAGGGGGTTTCTGCAACAATGCCGTAGAAGAACCCTTTACTCTACAAAAGCAATCCGGTCAAATGCGTTTTCAACTACCTCTGGAAGTGGTCGAAAGTGGGCAAGCTCAAAACGTTTTAGACCCCGTTTACACCTGTATTTAGCGTCGTCCACTTGTGATCCCATCGACCAAAACACATCTTAATCCCAGGTGTAAACAGGGCCTTAGTGTGAAGAACCTTTTATGGTCACACTTCAGATTCAGTCCAGTTCTCACTATTAACACACGACTTTTGCTTATAAGTAGTTAATAAGTTTAGGTATTGGGTAGGATTAAGGGATGTAGAATATGGTCATTCAGAATTAGGCATTAATATGTGCTTTATAAGTACTAATAAACAGCCAATCTCCTAGTAATATGCATGCTAATAAGCATCTAGTTAATAGTGAGAATTGGACCTAAAGTGTGTTACCCATTTGTTTTTAATCTAAAGAAAATGTTTCCACTATAAAGAGCCATGGATGTTAAAGGCTGTTTATGGAACTATGCCAGTAAAGTTATTTATTTTGTAAGGCACCTTCAGAGGTTGCCTAGAAGTTCTCCAGAGTGTTCTTCCAGTGTTCTGCCTCAGACATATTTAAAAAATTTTTTACAATACTCTTCAGTAAAACACCAACACGAAAAGATGAGAAATGGGCTTAACAAACCACATTATTCTTATAGTGCTTCATGAGCTATTGCTATAACAGCAAATGAAATCGAAGCTTAAAAAAACAAGCAACAGTCAAATTCATGTTGCATGCTATTATCGTGTTTCTTGTTTCCTGCTTTTTAAAAGTCAGCTCATCAAAGAGAATGAAATGAGGGAGCTGCCCATCATTGTACGTCTCTGCAATTTCTGAGACATGAATGCATTTTGACGATGATCTAACAACTTCTGCGATATATACTGTACAATGAAAGCAAACTTCAACTCTTACCCACAAACCTCTGGGGCATAGAGCTCTTACGCTTAGCTACATTGTTAGCTATCCTGTCTAGCACCAAGGCTCTCTCAGATGCAGGCATGTCCTCCCTCTGCTCATTCTGGCTGTTCTCTTCCTTCACTATGGGAAGCAAGACAAAGAAACCACGCATAAGATTCAAATGCCTGTATCTAACCTGAGCTCATCCTCTGACATGGAGGCACACATCATGATTTTTATGTTTTTTTTTTTTTTCTTGTGACACTTTTTCTTACGCCTTGAGACTTTACGGGCATATATGTATCTGCGAATCATTTCATACAATTGTTCAATTGTGGCTCCAAACATCTGAATGGCAGTATTTGTCCACTCTACTCTACTTTTAAAGCAATCATGGGTTGTACTTTTCATTATGGTGACAATAAACCACATTTAAGTCATTGTCATGGGTCAGCCACATTTCCATCTATTTAAGAATAGAAAACACAGAGAGAGAGAGAGAGCTGGTATGCTGCCATTCACATACCTGTATAAATGCTATTCTGAAGGCCCATGCACTGCAGGTAGTTGTGACATCTCTCCTTATGTTCCTCCAGCGAGCTCCGCTGCTTGTAACTGCGCCCGCAGTATGCACACTTGTGAGGTTTTCCAACTGTCAGTTAAAAATAAAAATGAAATCTGCTCATTCACACTATACAATTTAGTCATTGTGGTTTTAATTCAAATATAGGATCACACAATAACAACTGAACTGCCTAAAGTGATTCAATCAGTGTAGCTGTAGGTTAATGAAGAAGGCACGTCTGTCTCTTTACATCCCGTCAGACTAAAGCATGAGTTACCCGAGTGCGTGCGCAGGTGTCCGGTGAGGGCGTCTCTGCGGCGGCAAGCATAGTTGCACAGGTGACATTTGAAAGGTTTCTCGCCAGAGTGCAGTTTGATGTGTCGGAGCAGGTTACCCTTCTGAGTGAAAGAAGCACCACACTGGTTGCACTGGAATGGCCTCTCCCCTAGGAGAAAGAAAGATAATGCATAACTCATGTGCTATTGGAATTAGAATATTTTCATGTAAAATTACTACATAAGGCCTACTGCATGTTGATTTAAGGAATAGTTCACCCAAAAATGAAAATTCTGTCGTTAATTACCCCTCATGCCGTTCCAAACCTATAAGACTTTTGTTCATCTTCGGAACACAAATGAAGATCTTTTTGATGAAATTTGACAGTTTTCTGTCCCTGAAGAGATTGTAAAACTAATCCATATGAATTGAGCGGTTTAGTCCAAAATTTTCTGAAGAGACTCGATCGCTTTATATGATGAACAGATTGAATTTAGGCTTTTATTCACAAATAAACATCGATCAGTGGACTTAATTGAACCTGCTTGATGCACGAGAACAAACCTCATTGGTTCTTGCAGAAGCTCAAACGTGCAGCGTAACACGAGAATGAACCTCATTGGTTCTTGCAGAAGCTCAAACGTGCTGCGTAACACGAGAATGAACCTCATTGGTTCTTGCAGAAGCTCAAACGTGCTGCGTAACACGAGAATGAACCTCATTGGTTCTTGCGGAAGCTCAAACGTGCTGCGTTACACGAGAATGAACCTCATTGGTTCTTGCAGAAGCTCAAACGTGCTGCGTAACACGAGAATGAACCTCATTGGTTCTTGCAGAAGCTCAAACGTGCTGCGTAACACGTGAATGAACCTCATTGGTTCTTGCAGAAGCTCAAACGTGCTGCGTAACACGTGAATGAACCTCATTGGTTCTTGCTGAAGATCAAACGTGCTGTGTAACACGTGAATGAACCTCATTGGTTCTTGCTGAAGATCAAACGTGCTGCGTGACACGTGAATGAACCTCATTGGTTCTTGCAGAAGCTCAAACGTGCTGCGTAACACGAGAATGAACCTCATTGGTTCTTGCGGAAGCTCAAACGTGCTGCGTAACACGTGAATGAACCTCATTGGTTCTTGCAGAAGCTCAAACGTGCTGCGTAACACGAGAATGAACCTCATTGGTTCTTGCAGAAGCTCAAACGTGCTGCGTAACACGAGAATGAACCTCATTGGTTCTTGCAGAAGCTCAAACGTGCTGCGTAACACGAGAATGAACCTCATTGGTTCTTGCAGAAGCTCAAACGTGCTGCGTAACACGAGAATGAACCTCATTGGTTCTTGCAGAAGCTCAAACGTGCTGCGTGACACGTGAATGAACCTCATTGGTTCTTGCAGAAGCTCAAACGTGCTGCGTAACACGAGAATGAACCTCATTGGTTCTTGCTGAAGATCAAACGTGCTGTGTAACACGAGAATGAACCTCATTGGTTCTTGCGGAAGCTCAAACGTGCTGCGTAACACGTGAATGAACCTCATTGGTTCTTGCAGAAGCTCAAACGTGCTGCGTAACACGAGAATGAACCTCATTGGTTCTTGCAGAAGCTCAAACGTGCTGCGTAACACGTGAATGAACCTCATTGGTTCTTGCAGAAGCTCAAACGTGCTGCGTAACACGAGAATGAACCTCATTGGTTCTTGCTGAAGATCAAACGTGCTGTGTAACACGTGAATGAACCTCATTGGTTCTTGCTGAAGATCAAACGTGCTGTGTAACACGAAAATGAACCTCATTGGTTCTTGCGGAAGCTCAAACGTGCTGCGTAACACGTGAATGAACCTCATTGGTTCTTGAGGAAGCTCAAACGTGCTGCGTAACACGAGAATGAACCTCATTGGTTCTTGCAGAAGCTCAAACGTGCTGTGTAACACGAGAATGAACCTCATTGGTTCTTGCTGAAGATCAAACGTGCTGCGTTACACGTGAATGAACCTCATTGGTTCTTGCTGAAGATCAAACGTGCTGCGTAACACGAGAATGAACCTCATTGGTTCTTGCGGAAGCTCAAACGTGCTGCGTAACACGTGAATGAACCTCATTGGTTCTTGCTGAAGATCAAACGTGCTGCGTTACACGAGAATGAACCTCATTGGTTCTTGCTGAAGCTCAAACGTGCTGCGTAACACGTGAATGAACCTCATTGGTTCTTGCTGAAGATCAAACGTGCTGCGTTATATGAGAATGAACCTCATTGGTTCTTGCAGAAGCTCAAACGTGCTGTGTAACACGAGAATGAACCTCATTGGTTCTTGCAGAAGCTCAAACGTGCTGCGTTACACAGAGAATGAACCTCATTGGTTCTTGCAGAAGCTCAAACGTGCTGCGTAACACGAGAATGAACCTCATTGGTTCTTGCAGAAGCTCAAACGTGCTGCGTTACACGAGAATGAACCTCATTGGTTCTTGCAGAAGCTCAAACGTGCTGCGTAACACGTGAATAAAGCTCATTGGTTCTTGCTGAAGATCAAACGTGCTGCGTAACACGTGAATGAACCTCATTGGTTCTTGCTGAAGATCAAACGTGCTGCGTAACACGAGAATTAACCTCATTGGTTCTTGCAGAAGCTCAAACGTGCTGCGTTACACGAGAATGAACCTCATTGGTTCTTGCAGAAGCTCAAACGTGCTGCGTAACACGTGAATGAAGCTCATTGGTTCTTGCTGAAGATCAAACGTGCTGCGTAACACGAGAATGAACCTCATTGGTTCTTGCAGAAGCTCAAACGTGCTGCGTAACACGTGAATGAACCTCATTGGTTCTCGCTGAAGATCAAACGTGCTGCGTTACACGAGAATGAACCTCATTGGTTCTTGCAGAAGCTCAAACGTGCTGCGTAACACGAGAATGAACCTCATTGGTTCTTGCAGAAGCTCAAACGTGCTGCGTAACACGAGAATGAACCTCATTGGTTCTTGCAGAAGCTCAAACGTGCTGCGTAACACGTGAATGAACCTCATTGGTTCTTGCTGAAGATCAAACGTGCTGCGTTACACGAGAATGAACCTCATTGGTTCTTGCAGAAGCTCAAACGTGCTGCGTAACACGAGAATGAACCTCATTGGTTCTTGCAGAAGCTCAAACGTGCTGCGTAACACGAGAATGAACTTTATTGGTTCTTGCAGAAGCTCAAACGTGCTGCGTAATACGAGAATGAACCTCATTGGTTCTTGCAGAAGCTCAAACGTGCTGCGTAACATGAGAATGAACCTCATTGGTTCTTGCAGAAACTCAAACGTGCTGCGTAACACGAGAATGAACTTTATTGGTTCTTGCAGAAGCTCAAACGTGCTGCGTAACACGAGAATGAACCTCATTGGTTCTTGCAGAAACTCAAACGTGCTGCGTAATACGAGAATGAACCTCATTGGTTCTTGCAGAAGCTCAAACGTGCTGCGTAACATGAGAATGAACCTCATTGGTTCTTGCAGAAACTCAAACGTGCTGCGTAACACGAGAATGAACTTTATTGGTTCTTGCAGAAGCTCAAACGTGCTGCGTAACACGAGAATGAACCTCATTGGTTCTTGCAGAAGCTCAAACGTGCTGCGTTACACGAGAATGAACCTCATTGGTTCTTGCGGAAGCTCAAACGTGCTGCGTAACACGAGAATGAACCTCATTGGTTCTTGCTGAAGATCAAACGTGCTGCGTTACACGAGAATGAACCTCATTGGTTCTTGCTGAAGATCAAACGTGCTGCGTTACACGAGAATGAACCTCATTGGTTCTTGCGGAAGCTCAAACGTGCTGCGTAACACGAGAATGAACCTCATTGGTTCTTGCGGAAGCTCAAACGTGCTGCGTAACACGAGAATGAACCTCATTGGTTCTTGCTGAAGATCAAACGTGCTGCGTTACACGAGAATGAACCTCATTGGTTCTTGCTGAAGATCAAACGTGCTGCGTTACACGAGAATGAACCTCATTGGTTCTTGCGGAAGCTCAAACGTGCTGCGTAACACGAGAATGAACCTCATTGCTTCTCACATGTCAAGTGAACATGCTTGAGCTTCCGTTTACCACAACTGTGTGTGAGATGATCAATGTTTATATGTGAATAAAAGGCTAAATTCAATCTGTTAATCACATAAAGCGATCGTGTCTCTTCAGAAAATTTGGACTAAACTGTTCAATTCATATAGATTAGTTTACGATCTCTTTATGAACTTTTTGAAGCGTCAAAGTTGTAGTTGCGCAGCTGTCTATGGAGGGCTAGAAAGCTCTCAAATTTCATCAAAAATATCTTCATTTGTGTTCAGAAGATGAACGAAAGTCTTACGGGTTTGAAACGAAATGATGACATAATTTTCATTTTTGGTAGAACTATAAGGGAACGACATTTATTCAGCATATTCTCCTTTCTAGTGGTTCCAAAATGTACTTGGACACTTAAGCCACAAAAATGTATGTCATTGCGACCAGTATCAATATATTAAACTAGAATGACACTTCTCAAGCAAGGTTGTAAATTATAAAACAGATGTACTTTTTGAAATGAAGATAAAAAGTTTTTTTTTTTTAAGTTTTCTAAACATTAATGGGACACCTGTCTGAAACTCTTAAAAGACAATTAAACTTATAATAATGGCACTAACTTTGTAGCATCGAAACTGTTATTGAACTGACCTGAATCAGCACTGAACTGACTTAAGTTGAATAATGACACTACTGTCTTTATAGGCCTATCTGAAATTAAATTTGTTTCATAATTAAATCTGCAACATTAACACTGTTATTTCCCTGTTTATTACTGTGAAGCTGCTTTGACAGAATCTGTATTGTATAAAGCGGTATAGTCTATATAGTTTAGTAGTAGCCTAGATTACATAGATATATAGATGAATGTGACTTGAACCTGACTTCATACATCCACAAAAGATTATAATCCATTGTTTAAAAGTAGGCATTATCGCAAAAACAAAAACAAAAAAACTTTATATATTTTTGTGATAAAGTAGCCAACAAATGAATCCTGCATTGTCAAATAAGAGGCTCGGTATGCTTTAACATGTATAGCAGTTACATAAACGCGTGTATAGTTCTATCAAACTGTTTTTGATTTAAACATAGAATGCCAGCGACAAATGGCCATGTAAATGGTGAGTGTCTGAGATGCTATATCGTCCCTCTGAAAGCAAAGCCCCGCTGCTGTAGCGCTATTACTCAGTGAATGCGGGGTCACTGTCCTACACGGCTCCAGCGCGCTGTTACATCTTCAACAACGCAACGCCTCGCGCCAAAGCTCAATCAAACACGCCAGCAGAATCTCGCACGTGAGCGCCGCTCTCCGCTCCGCGCGCGCTGCCTGGCTCGCGCCCTGATCGAACAAGAGGCTTTCAGACGCTGCCTGCCAGTTTCGCAATGCTCCACTGCCTGGGTCAATTTGATCTGAAAATCTCATTTTTTCCTCTTCTTCAGCTCTAAAATAAGAGCGGCCCATCACAATGCAAATGCAGAGCTCATTTAAATAAAGTGAAGGAAACACTTTGTGTTTGAGAGCCAGTCTTCCTGATCAGCGCCCCTGGAATAAACCAATATCCAGCTCCTCCGAATGTTGTGGCATTCTCCGAGAACGCTATTAATACTGCGCTCTCTTCAAAAGCCCTATAAAATAAGAGTCACCAGTGAAGCAGCAAAAAGACGGAAAAAGAAACTCATTAAAAAGGCATTTCAGGAGCTCGGTGCCTCCTGCGAATATTTTGATTTAAATAGGAAGCACTTCATTATATCCTTTATTATACGTTCTTTTCTGAATTTACATTAGCCAACTGTTCCTTTCTTCCATTTTGAGTTTCATTAGTTTGTCAGTGAGGAAGTTAAGTGCCTTTTTGAAAAATGTTCTCACCCACTGGTTTGGCTTCATTGCAGTGGAATATCAATTTGAGAAAGGGAGAAAAGAGCTAATGCTGAAATAATTGTCATTTGAGAGAGGCTTCTTGGTTAGTTCTTGGATTGTCATAAAGAAAACTAAACAAAATGTCACATTTTTGTTATGAAAACATACACACATCTCATCATTGATCATCATCATCATTAATTAGGTTACACAGGTGAGTCTTTAAAAGGAAAGTTAAGCCAAAAAATGAAAATTCTGTCATCATTTACTCACCCTTATGTCGTTCCAAATCTGACTTTCTTTCTTCTGCAGAACATAAAAGAAGATATTTTGAGAAATGTCTCATTTTAGTTTTTCCATACAATGGAAGTCAATGGCAACCAAAACTGGTGTCCCGCAGAAGAAAGAAAGGACCACTTTATATCAGTTGTCTATGCATTTGTGGACTATGTAATTGAGTTGGATTGCAAAACACTTTCTCTGCAGTTGAGGTTAAATTTAGGTTTGGTTTAATAGTGTAATTATAAATGTAACTGCAGAAATGAATTACAGATGTAATTAAGTATAAACCCAATGGAAAAAAAAACATGTATGTACAATTACTGTCAAATCGACATTTAACATAAAAGTTTTTGTTTATATAATATATGAGTTTGTAATGGAGATATATATATATATATATATATATATATATACAAAAACTTTTATGTAAGATGCGATTAATCACGATTCATCGATTTGACAGCACTAAATAAGTCCAATGTATCTAATGATTCATTATTAAGTATACATAGTAGTTAAAGACACTTAATATAAAGTGGGTCCGAAAGAAAGTCATACAGGTTTGGAACAACATAAGTAAATGATGACAGAATTTTCTTCTTTGTATAAACTATCCCTTTAATGCAGACATTAGCCAAAAAATGCTGTCCTATTGTTCTAAAAACACATCGCAAACAGCATATTGACGTATTCCATCTTTATTAGTCATTTACATCAACCTGCATCCATTCAAGTCAAGCCGTACAAATCTAAAACACGGCTAGTTTGCTTTGCTCTGGCTTCTGATAAACAAAAGGATGGTTCCATTTAAAACACATCCAGCGTCTGCCTCTATCCTGGCCTCAACCTACCCAGCCCTGCACCCTGTCAGCTGTGAGTGATAGTATAAGGAGGGAAGAGTAGATGGCAGTTGTGCTTACCAGTGTGACTTCGCTTGTGCACCATCAACACATTGGGCCCAATGCAAACTATCCCACAGATATCGCACTTCAGCTTCCCGTTGGGGAGGCGGATGCCCCCGGCCGTGGGGTAGGCGGCCGGCTTGCTGTCGGGGCCTGCGTGGGAGCCGTTCAGTTTGGCCCCCGAGCCATCGAGCACGCGCAAGTCCTCGGCTGCACATTCCTCCGCCTCTCCATTCATCTCACAGGTCAGCCCGTTTTCCTCGTCACTCCGAGCCTCAACTTTTATATTACAGGCTGGAAAAGAGGGTAGTGGGCCTGTTAAGTACAGTGGCAGGCTGGGTGGTTATTTTCCCTGACTCGGTAACTAACACCGCCATCTTTTACCAAGTTCTACAACAAAAAGTGCACCTGCACTTAATAAGCAACTAGTTTCTTATCTATTTTCTGATTATCAGCTTCTGTGTGTGTGTGCGTGCAAAAACATCAACTTTTATTGCATTAAACACATTTATGACATTAGAGAACATTAACTGCATTTGTTGAATATTTTCTTCTGTAGATATTGCCAGAATTAGGAGGTAACTAACTAAAAGTAGTGACTATCTTAACTAGTTACTAACTTAACATGTTCAGCTGCTACATTGCTGCTTAAAAGAAAAGCACACGCAGCTTTGTAGTTGAGCAGACAGAATAATCCAACATGCTTTTGCAAATGTGTTTTTTTCTTTCATGTGAAGCTTTATGAAGTCTGACTCAATTGATTGAATCAGATTGTTCTAACGATTGATTTTTCTTTACTGAGTCATATAATTACTTTAAAAAAAGAATTAAGAGGTACTGTCCTCTTATAGCTTTAATTTACACTACTGTTTATTAAAAGTTTGGGATCTGTAAGATTAAAAAAAAAAGAAAAAAAAAAAAAAAGAAAAGAAGTCTCTTCTGCTCACCAAGGCTGATTTATTTGCTCAAAAATACAGTATCAGCTATATTGTGAAATATCATTACTATTTAAAATAGCTGTTTTCTATTTGAATATATTTTCAAATGTAATATATGTGATGATAAAGCTGAATTGCCAGCATCATTACTCCAGTCTTCAGAGTAACATGATCCTTCAGAAATCATTCCAATATGCTGATTTGCTGCTGAAGAAACATTTCTGATTATCAATGTAGAAAACAGTAATATATTTGCGAAAACCCTGATCTTTGATGAACATAAAGTTCAAAAGAACAGCATTTATTTGAAATAGAAATATTTTGTAACATTACAGATGTCTTTACTCTGTTTAGATCAATTTAATCTGTCATATATATTTTTTTCTTACTGACCCCAAACTTTTGAACTGTATTAGCTTGTAACCAAACAATAGCTTTAGTCCTTCAAATTATGAGTATCTTGAAGCTTTTGCAATTTCAAAGTAGCTTCCCCAACATTTGAAACTAGTATATCACAAATAACCTGATAAATATGTATGTGCATAAGATATATGTTTACATGATGGTGAAAGCTCCCAACTTCCTTAAGTCCCAAAGAAAAAGAAAAAACTAGTATTTGAGAGAATAATATTCCTCTTTATGAATAAACAAGGGTTCTTCTATCAGGCTGCCTGCTCAAAAACCATCTCACCATCTCATTCACCATCACACTTCTTTGAAACAAATGACTGATAAACAGGAAACAGAGACACAGGAAGCACTGTGAAACTGAGGACTCTCAGCGGTGTAAACCAGACCAGCAAACCGTGGTAAACACATACACACATACAAGCTTACAGAAGCATGCAAAAGAAGAGCACTCAATCAAATAAGGATAAAACTGTTTGTTAAATATTCCGAATATTCTATGGAATACCCAATCATAAACTAGACGATTGTTCAGATGCCCGTTCAGCCTAATGAAGTAAACATTTTGAGGGTTTTCAGGCAGTTTGAGTTCAGAGTAAATGCCCTGTGGTTAACATGCTGTGGTGCCAGGCTGATTTCCCCATGCCTCAGCCTCTGTTTGTACAGACTCAAGAGGAACAAGCAGAAATAATGAAATATGGGAATCCGAGGGAAAAGGGGAAGCTTCAGCACCCGAGCCGGCCCAACCGAAAAAAAGGACAAGAGTTATGGAGAAGTGACAGAAAGGGAAGCACAGACAGGGAATTGTTAAGCACAACAAGTGAAACAGTTTTTCTTTTTGTGTGTGTGTGTGTGTGTTCAGACTACAGGGATCAGCAACTGAAGCACGTGATTGAACTGGAGAGTACCGACACAGAACGACCGCCTGTGTTTAGGTTACTCTCTGTCGGTTCACACAGACACTGAAAAATAACTCCCAAATAATTGCCTCGAGTCTTACAGCAAGTGATTCAGTTTCCAGTATAATCGTCGAAAAAGAATTCCAAACCAATCAATATATTGTAGGTGGAAATAGGACAGATAACTTTTATTGAAACCAAAAGAACTGCATCATAAAGCATCTTTAATTTCAGAGAAGGTCCTGTATGAATAACTTCACATAATGATTTTTATTGCACATTCCTGTTCTTAATATGCACCATTCATTGGTGGACGATACTTCACATAAAACATGTTTGTCTTCGTAAACTTTGATCAAAACTGTAAGACTACATTATGAATCCCTCATACTTTTTTAATTCGTCAAAGCTGCATTCATATTTTCACGATCCAATCAATTCCCTCCCTACATTTTTTCCTTCTGGATATTCTGTTTTACGTCCTATTAAGTAAAACAGGTTGTGAACCGCATTTTATGTTTACTGTAAGGATGGTTTATATGGATTTCAGTGTCAGTGTGTGAAGGAATTACAGCAGTTAATAACATAAAGTCAATACAGGAAAGCAATCTCCCATTAGCACCCATAAAAGGATGTATTTCTTCCTCTCACACACGCAGATCCACTGACAGCCTTTCTGCTTATATGATATGATGATATAACCGTGTGATGTGACCTGAGTTTGGCAGAGGGAACTAGGCCTGTTGTCATGATACAGTCTCTCATGGATCTTTTTGGGGAAGTTATGACTAAACTGGGGATGGGAAGAGGAGCTTTTACTTTGTATAACGTTTGTCACACATCCTAATTTACCCATTTTGGGAAGCAAGTGTCAAAAGCCACAGACAAGGACAAACAAAAGAGCTCTGCATAGAACAGAACGACATAACAGGCGAACCTCACAAACATCAATGGCTAACTTTAAATGGGATTAAATTTCGATTTCCAGAGAAACTCAGTCTCGGTGCAGTGGTCTAGGGTTCAGTGCCTTGAGGATCATGTTAGTGATAAGGGAGTGTCCTTTTTGGGGTTTGAACTTGTGAGCCTCTACCACATCGATTACAAAATGATCACAACATTGCACTTTAGCAAAGGGATGTATTCACCTAGGGCACTATAAATGAATGTAACGCTGCATGGGTTAGTACAATTAATTTTTCGTTTATGCTCCAGTCGAGGCACTGAAAATAACCATGTATCTTATGCGGTGCAGCAGAGCTATGCACGTTAACCACGGATCCACATATGGGTGGGTGAGAGTATAGATGTGCATGCATGTGTATGCATGTGTGTGAGACACGATTCAAAAAAACCCTGCTTTCGCTTATATTTTTAGGAACTTGCTAGTGAAATGTTTGCCTCTGATATGGCAGCAGGTTTAAGGCCAGGCCATCACCTTCATACATTTAAAAAGAGGAATTACATGATAAAATCGGCCCCGCACCATGAAAACCTTGACAACAATCTTGCCATGCAGTGCTAGTAAATACTAAATGGTCAAGCCAAATAGCACTATCAAAAAGACATCACTATCAAAAGTCAACATGAAATCAAAATGGATTGTTTTTTTCTTAATGATTGTTCTGGGTCTTGTTAATTATTTATTGGTGCACATGATTTAATGGAATTAAATCGTTTTTTTGCTCAGATTTCTGAGAAGCGCTGTTGAAAGTGGATCGGACCGAGCACCACAACTCACTTGTAGCCAATCAGCAGTAGGGGGCGTGTCCACTCATGATGGGGGAGGAGAGAGAGTGAGCAAGAGGAAAGACTGTAGAACGAGAGATGGCTGAGAGACAAAAGAGAAAAGGTCAGAGGAATATCACTGGAAAAAGAAGGGTTATGATCAGGCAAGAGCTTTAGGACCCGTGTTAAAGGGATACTCCACTTTTTTTGGAAATAGGCTCATTTTACAACTCGCCCAGAGTTAAACTGTTTTACCGTTTTTGAATCCATTCAGCCGATCTCCGGTTCTGGCGGTACCACTTTTAGCATAGCTTAGCATACATCATTGAAGTGGACAAGACCATTAGCATTTCTCCCCAAAAAAATGACCAAAGAGTTTCAATATTTTTCCTATTTAAAACTTGACTCTTCTGTAGCTACATCGTGCACTAAGACCGACGGAAAATGTAAAGTTGCGATTTTCTAGGCTGATATGGCTAGGAACTATACTCTCATTCCTGCGTAATAATCAAGAAACTTTACTGCCGTACCATGAGTGCAGCAGGCGTAATGATATGACGCAGCACCTGAAAATAGTTCCGGTTTGTTGACGGAAGGTAGCCTATTTTCAGGCGCTGCGTGCACGATGTAACTACAGAAGAGTCAAGTTTTAAATAGGAAAAATATCGAAACTCTTTGGTCATTTTTTTTTTTAGAAATGCTAATGGTCTTGTCCACTTCAATGATGTATGCTAAGCTATGCTAAAAGTGGTACCGCCAGAACCGGAGATCGGCTGAATTGATTCAAAAACGGTAAAACTCAACACTTTAACTCTGGGGGAGTTGTAAAATGAGCCTATTTCCAAAAAAAGTGGAGTATCCCTTTAATATTAGAGAAGCTTTCCAGCGCTGGAGAGATCTCAGCGGGAAGGCATGAAATGGACGGCGGGGTTGCGTTGTTTCTGCTCCATACTTATCTAACATTGGTTTTGCTGTTTCACAGAACCAAGATATGCTGTTGTTGTAATGTTAGCTATACAGGACAGTTTTGAGTGTTATTGTTTGTCTGGACAGACTGATCTCATGAAATGGCGTATGTATGACACGCGAATTCGTATTTCTATTTTTGGCGTGCTATCAGCACGCATAATCGCTTTTCAGCGTGTTTATCAACGCCGTTGACTTAACTACATTACTGTATATATAAATATATGACCTACCCCAGCCCCGTCCCTAAACCTACCCGTCACTGGGGTTAATACCATTTATGAGTCTTCCCCTACCATCCTAGGAAAAAAATATCGCTCCACAGACGTAGATATGCTTTTTGCTTCGTTTCGCTCGGACATTTAACGGCGTACACATACACGCGGAATCACTCGGACATTTAACGGCGTAGACATACACGCAAAAGATTTCGGCGTGGACGTACACGCGGATAGCTCAAAATGCGTATAGATAACACGCCACTTGACTTGAAAGTGGCGTGTATGTTTACGCAAAGTCATGATGTCATGTTGGTCTGGAGCTGCTGTGCTGCTGGCGACTAACCAATTCTTGCTTTTATAACCTCTAGGCCTACTGTACGTTCTTTTTGGTTCTTCCTTGTCGTTCGTTCGTCATGCTCACTTTATTTTTTGCGAAGCGTTATTTTTCTTCGCTGCAGCTATGATAAAGAGACATTGCGTGTTCGTGCAATTTAGGGGCGGAGCAATGAAGGGAGGAGTGTGTTTGTTTAGGTTGATTTAAAATATTACCAGTGTTTCTCAGAAATCGCTTACCGCACCTTTAATCCAAAAAATGTTTCTTGTCTAAAACGACTTCCTTTCTCTGCTGAAATCTAGCTATTTGAGAAAGTTAACTGAAAGCTAAATAGCTATGCACTGTTTTAGCAAATTACACTTGACAGAACAAATTCCTGCCCATTTGTCTCATTGAATATCTCGTTCCACTTGGAAATACGTCACATTACAGGGGTAAAATAGGTTGTGAAAGAAAGAAAGGAATACACTTCAGCATACATTTAAATAGAGTTCTTATTACAGAACTTATATACTTAAGGGCAAACTGAATGTAATGTTTTCGGAAACTTAACTACAATTAAATGAAAATGTAATATAATTTAAATTTATATCAAATGCAATTAGCTAAATTTTAAAGTGTTTTTGACCCCCTTAATCAAGACTTAAGTACATCTTTATGTAATCGTGTAAGTACTTTTATTGCATTTTAAATTATGGTTAAGTTGTACTGCCCAACGTACCGACAAGAAATTATGGTAAACTAAAATATACTTTAATATAATTTCTATTGAAAATGGTTTGCCATGTATTTAAATATATTTGCACACATTTACACATTTGTAATAGCGAAGTTGCAATTTAGTACATTTGAAATATATTACCTTTAAATGTAAAAAACACTTTACATGTGCTTAGTATTTTAGTCAACACATCTAAACATTATTTAAACATAATGATTTAAAATGCACATTAAAGTAAACTTTTGACAAAATTACAAAGTGCACTTTTTAAAAGTGTACTTAAATGTGTAAAATGTGTACTCTCTTTAAGTATAGTCAAGTGGTCTTTTATTTTATTAAAACCAAAGGTAACACTTTATTTCGAGGGTCCACTTGAAACATTCTACTAACTATATATAATTACATCAACTTATTCTTACCTGAACCATACCACCTAACCCTAACCTAACAGGATACTCATACTCTCAAGAGAGTTATTGACATGTGGTTGCAAAGTTACTTATAGTTAGTAGAATGTCTAAAGTGGATCATCAAAATAAAATGTAACCAAATTATTTTATCTACTAGTACTTTTACGATTTGAAGTACACAAGTGCACATTCAGCACAATTAAGCACACTCCTTTTTTTCAAGGGAGACTTCTCTTATATTCCTACTGAACTAAACATTCCGTTTGTGGAGGAAAATGTTGTTTGGCTCTTTTTGCTGCTCCCAGATTTTAAATTTCAGTACGCAAATGTTTTCAAAACTGTAGAGGAGTTTGTAGGTCTTTCAGTGTGGTAGAAAGCAAAGACACAGCGCTCCTTGAGAATCATCTCTATATGTTTAGATTTCCTGATATTACGCTTGTAGTCACTCATCTGATTGAGCAGCGTATACTGCACAGTCTGCACATATACTCACTTAATCAGAAGAGCAATGATGCACAGTGAAGATACTGTCTTCACATCCTCTCACTCACTGGCTGATTATATCTCCAGGGACAACATGCAGACAGACAGATACACGCACATGCACACATACATTCACGCAAACCTTTGCTGATGCAAGAGTTCAGAGCGTTTGAAGTTTAGTTCTCTGTTTCTCTCAAACAATCCATGAATTTTTTTCTATTTGTCCTAAATGCCTTTTTCTTCCTTTGCATTCAATATACTCACATCTCAATAAGAGAATTTCTATAATAGATAAAGTTGAGAATTGTGTGTGAAAAGCAAGTGGCATTTTGTGATCTTGTTGAGTTAAATGTCATTTAATACTCTTATTAGTGTTCATAATGTCATCCCAACTATTCAAACAGATGGCTAACAAGGGGTTGTGTCTCTCTTCAACAGTTAAGAACATGCTTCAGCCTCCGTCAGCGTCTATTGTCCCTTATTACTTTATAGATGTGTCTTTGACTGTGCTTTTTATATATGTAACACATGAGGGAGATATGCAAGTGCTATTTTGCTGAGAGTAAAGCTTCGCTTTTGGACTTGAATGCGGGTGGGTGTGTGGAAGTGTGTGAATATCGTGGCAGTTGAAGTGAAAGCATGGCAAAAGTGCAGGTGCAGAGTTGTGTATAAGAGAGCGTACACTCACATTTGTTTGTGATACTGCGCCTATATATCTGGTGTTGCTCCTGAACATTTTATCTCCCTGAGTGAGTGTTGAAACTGAGTTCTGGCAAGTTCTTCTTAGGAAACTCTTGCACATCCTATTTCAGTTTCCTCTCACATCTTTTTTTTTCTTTCTCTCTCTCTCTCTCTCTCTCTCTCTCTCTCTCTCTCTCTCTCTCTCTCTCTCTCTCTCTCTCTCTCTCTCTCTCTCTCTCTCTCTCTCTCTCTCTCTCTCTCTCTCTCTCTCTCTCTCTATCTCTATCTCTATCTCTCTCTTTCTCACTCTGTTTTTCACTTTCAGTAGCTTCAAAGTGAGCATGTCACACATTAAGTCCAAGTTAATCTGGAACTTTTGGAGGGGAAAATTCCAAACTAAAATACATCAAGATATTAAACAGGCCATCTGGTAACTTCTGGTTAGCCAAATTTATTCCCACCCATTTTCGTCTCTAGTTAACCCACTTTCTGTTTACACCGCTAACACTATATTTATTGATATAATGACTAACTTACACTTTCTGTGACCACCTATCCTTCAAACATGACATTTTCATTTATATTCTACCATTAAAATGATTTTTTAAAAGGAATTAATATTTTTATTCAGCAAGGACAGAATAAATTGATCAAGTGACAAAAAACTTTTGAATTATTACAAAAGATTTCTATGTCAAATAAAGCTGTTCTTTTGAACTTTCTATTCATCAATAAATGTATCATAGTTTCCACAAACATTCCACAGCACAACTTTTTCCAACCATGAAAAAAATATATATATTCAGCACCAAATCAGCATATTTGAATGATTTCTGAAGGATCAAGTGAAACTGAAATTAAACTTTGCCATTACAGGAATAAAGCATATTTTAAAATATAATAAAAGAGAGAACTATTTTACATTGTAATAATATTTCACAAAACTGCTGTTTACAAAAAAATGCTGCCTTGATAAGCATTAGAGACTTTTTTTTCGAAAATCTTACTGACCCCAAACTTACCTTTTAGTTTTTGTCCTTAGAAACCGAATTGTTTTAATGGTTTTTCAATAAAATTAGAATTTGCATTTAATCATTCAGTCACTTTATCAGATGCTTTTATCCAAAAGGACTTAAAAAAATAAGAAACGTAATACAGAATTTTAAGAATAAACCAGAGAAGGAAGAACAGAAGTGTAAAAACATTAGAGAGAAATTTCCTAATAAGTGTGGGTTTAAGAGTTCATGGCACAACTGAGCATGTTATGTGTAGGCTCAGTCAGTGAGTAAACTGTTTCAATGTATTAAATTAGCCATCTGATGTTTAAATGTCCCACGGTTTCAGGAACCAATAACTATTAGTCTGACATGAGGAAAATAATCCATTTGTTACTTAAAGTTCACACAGATTTTCCTTTTCAATTTGATGTTTATTTTTTCTTTTCTATGTGTGGCAATAAAAAAAAAAAGAAAGGGGCAGGATCTCATTACAAAACCTGAAGATGCGCATCATGAGCTAAATTGAAAGCTTCGGACCCTGCGTACCTTCGAACAATCTAGTGCACTCGCTTTGTGATCTTGCAGGAAGAACGAGAGCCGTTACGTGAACAATTCGTTTCATGCTGCCTTTTACAGTTTTCTCCGTTGGGTTGACCTTAAAAGTGGGCTGCAGTGGGAGCTATATCAGACTGAGCATTGCATGTGTAAATGAGGTAGTTTTGTGGTTGTGTCCCAGCTTAGGCTGGTCTGACTCACCCAGTGGTTTGTCTGTGCGGTTGTTGTGTTGGAGGCCAGTGCTGGCTGACAAGTCCTCAGGAACAGGCATGGCCTCATCTTGGTCCTCTCCCCCCTCGATAGCAGTCGGGCTGTCCCTTCCTGAGCAGAGAGTAGAGAAGTTACCAATATAGACTCAGGCCCATCCCTTTTGCTTACTTTATCTTAGTGGAGATGAATTTAAAATTGATGCATGTCATTTTTTGGGTTAATAAGGGATAAGTAAGCCATTTGTAGGCTGATTTCCCATCAGTGGCTCAACCAATGGCATTGGTGTAGGGGGAAGGGCTATCTGTTTGTCTGACCAATGACAGGTGGTTTGAGTGTTCAGGAAACCTTTTTGAAAAGCAGTCATTAGGTGTGTTCGACTTCATGAGGCGCTGAGCAGATCGAGCGGTGCACGTTGGAAATTTAGTCCAACTAGAGATGGTGCTGATTCCACGTTACTTTGACGTATGCTTAAAAGTACAACAGCAATTTGAGAGCAGGCTGTCTCATTCTGCATAGCTTCTAATGATGAAACAGCTGTTTCACGATTGGCCGGATTCACCGAATGTTCACCTAGTGTTTTTGATGCAACACGAAAACATCTGAAACATCTGTGTATTTGACAAATATTGCAGATAATCTACTTCCAATATATTTAAAAACTACGATCGTCACTTCAGGAACAAGCAGTAAATCTCTCCGATCCGTTAAATCCAGCCGAAGTTGAACACAACTATTATTTTTGGATATCCGTTTGGTGACACTATAGTGTAGATAGAATTGAAACACTTCCCCTTAAAGAAAAAGGTGGTTGCTCAAAGTTGCTCAAGGTTGTATTGTATCCCACCGTTGACACTCAGAAGCATTAGTGAAGTTCCTAAATGTAATTTCGGGAGGAGTGAACCCATCTAATGTTTCAATTGCTGGAGCATGTAAGCAGCAGCTCACCTTGCTCCGGCATCAGCTGTTTCGGCTTCCTTCCACCTCCCCAACTCCACCAACATAATTTAGTAGTCCTGGAGGGGGGTATATCTAAGCTCGAGTTGAAGCTGTTTCCTCGAGCCCCTCCACTGCAGACAGCAAGCCAAATAGCAAGCCAAACCTCAATAGCTTCAAAATTATATGGGCAAACAAACTCGTGAAAATATGTTCTCACTAATGCAGCAAATTTGGAGCTCACTTTAATGAGTCTTGTGTAAGTTTCGTAACTTTATTATGAAAATGTCGACAGAGCACAAATGCTGACCCGGTTACTGGATTCAGAGTGTGTTCCCTTTTTCCATTTATCTGTTTTCCTGGGAAAGTGTTTGCATTGACCCTGTGCCGAGATGTCATCCTTGATGTGTTGTGGCGCAGAGGAACATTTCGTGCATCAAGTGTAAGAGGTCACAAGTTGAAATCTCGCTGAATGTACAATTTAAAATGTAATCTGTTTGTCAGTCAGTAATAGGGCCATTTGGATGTACTTGATTTGGTATTTGCTGGAACACAGAGCTTTACGATGAGTGATGGATATCGTTCACATCATTCCAAACCTGTACGACTTTTTTCTTCTGCAGAATGAAGATATTTTTGTCCATTCAAGTTTTGGACCCCATTGACTTTCATTGTACGGACAAAAAAAGAGGACATTTTCCATCTTTTTTGTTCCACAGAAGTCATAAAGTCATATGTTTGGAATGACACAAGGGTGAGTGTGATGACAGAATTTAAATTTTGAGATGAACTAACCCTTATAAGTTATAAACTTTTATTTTGTTCGTTGAAACTGGTAAGAGTTCAGAGTGATCATATGAGTTAGTCAGCCATTTTTGTGAGCTGAAGCCTTAACACATATCTGATGTGACAGACCTTCACACATAGCCTGTTGTTGAACAGTCAAAAGACGGTTATCTTTGCTTGATTGTTTTGATCATCCAGACCTCACTGTGGCTTTGAGCATATGAGAGGCGGCTCTTACCTGTTATCTGGGACATTTCCTGTGCCTCCTCAGTCTCCATCCTGTGCAGGTATTCTAACAGGAGCAAAAGTAAGAGAGAAAGTGTATCATCAGTGTTCGCTGCCTCAAAAATAACCCTGTATAAGAGAAGTGGCTGGTGATTAAAGGAGAATGGCCTTTCTTTGTGTATCTCCATCACCCTGGCAAGAACAGCCCCGTTCCAGCCGCACACACCACTGTCTTCCACATTACATTACAAAGAACTACAGACATTTTCATTACCGCTCTGACAGACGGGGTGAACTAAGAGAATATGTTTGGTGGACTACAAGGCCGAGGATGGTGTGGGGAGCCTCGAAACGAACAGGCTTTCAGACCACATTTGTTATTTATTGTTAATTTCCTACCACATAATCATCCAAAAATGCAAACTGACTGCCGCAAAATTAAGCAGAAAATTAGATGGCCCGGGGTCATGGAGGATGCGGGTGTTTGGCATCGCCAGCTGATTGGCGCCCGTGTTCACACTAATTTACTGAGCATGCATGGGTGAGCCCGGCAGCCCAACTCTTTCTGCATCTCTCCGCTTCTCTTTAACACACACACACAGATGTAGAACGCAGACGAGATGTGCAATGAGTAAGGTGACAGAAGGAAGACGATACCGAATTAAAAAAGCAGGTTCATTGGAGACAAGAATTGAACAGATAAAGAAACAAGGGAAAGGTTAGGCGGAAATAACTCACTGAGAGAATAGGACGAGAAGAAAATGTGTGTGTGTGTGGGGGGGGGGGGGGGGGGGGAGGGGGGGGGTGTGGGGGGGCAAAATAAGTGTTTTTTTTTCTCCTCAGAAGGAGTTGGTGGTGAGCACTTCCTCAGGCCAGGCCTGCATATCTGAGAAGTCACCAGCGCTCGTGGCCCCATTAATAATGTAGCGGCCACTTGGGCCCACAGCAGATGGGCACAACAGCCTCGGCCTCACTGCCACTTCAAGACGCTCCCGCTAGGGCCCCGCGCCCGGCCCCGCCAACCACACAGGGAGCAGTGAAGTTCCTGAAAATAGCCAAGCAAGCTGAAGAGAGCTCCTGGGAGAAGGGGGACGTAGGCCTTCCTGTTTTTACTGACAGATGGCTCCACGCACTTGGAACAAAGTGGGAAAAACAGCGGCCTACCGTCTGTCGCAATGTCCCAGTCTTCCTGGGGATTGCACTTCTCGAAAGACTCAGGACCAGCTCGCACGCCCAAAACCCTGGTGAGGGCTTGTTTTGCCTGGTGTGAGATACATATAGGCCAGTGCCTGGGTGTCATTGTGCGTGTGAAATTGAGAATGTTAAAGGCCAGCGGTGCGTAAAGGATTGCAGGTGGACATGACAAGCTAATTGCAATTCAATTTGATTTAGCTGAAGAGAAATATGTTTTCTGTGAATGCTTTCTTTAGTTCAAATCTTTATATCCAAATCCATATTTGCAGGATGTGTGTGTGTATATATATAAATTAAAAAGACTGAAACGAAAAACCTTAAAAGATGACATTATACTGTATTCTCAAATACGGTTTCTGTGCATCTGACATCTGCATCTGAATATATTCTGTAATATTAGTGAGCTAATTAGCAGGACAACTAGCTGGGTAAAATTAATTGAATCACTCTGCATTGATTTATTCTCATTCTGGTTGTATTGTATTTTAAAATATAAAATATATAGGCATTATATAATTTTTGATTGCACAATATCACTAGTAAGTCATGTTACTGACATTTTACACGCAAACGCAGATCAGATCAGCTGTTATGAAGACTAAGGAGCTGCTCATGGATCTTCACAGACCTCTTTGACTGTCTAAATGGGACATCAACAATCTTTTCAACACTTCACAGAATTGGCCACTGTGAGATAGCAGCCCGATCTGGATAGAAGGAAGGCATTTGGCTTCTTTGCCAGTTTCTTGCCAGTGGTCTGGCTTTGATTTTTACCAGGAGGCACATGTTGCCATCAAAAGCAACATGGGTTGGGTAAATGCAGGCAAAAACTTGATGAGAACCTGTTTCAGTGGCCCAGCAACACTCAGGGTGTGTTCACACTTGTAGTTCGGTTCATTTGGTCCGAAGTCCGGACCAACAAAAAAAAATATATATATATATAAATAAATAAAACATTTAGTCCTGGTCCGCTTAGCACACTGGCATTTTAACACCAAACCTAAAGATATCGAAGCTAAAGAAGGCATAGGGATATGTTCACAACCTGATTGGTCGCCTTTTATGGCGTATATTTCGCGACGGAACTTACCGAACATCCAAAACAATGCGGTGTGCTGGACTGAACGCCCTCGTTGTATTTGCGTATAGCCTACATATGATGGTATTTTGACCAGCTGAAAACTCGTGAATAGCTTATACAATGTGTAAAGGAGTCAAAACAGCGGCAGGAATCCCTCCGTCACACACACAAATGAAGATCTGCTGCGAGGAGACGCGGTTCTGACGCCTGTACCGAACCGTGATGGGCAACATCGTGACTATGACGAGAAAAAACAGGTATGCGTGAACATTCTGTCCTTTTTAGGGTTGCATGATATCATATCCTTTTTTAGTTCGTTTACATGTTTTTGGTCCGTGTTGAGTTGGTTTGGAAGCGGACCGAGACTCTTTTCAGCGGTCTCGGTCCACTTGTTTGGTACGCACCACCAGGGTTCGGGTGGCAGCGTTCACACAATGAACAGCACTAAAAGCAATCACATCAGGGTTCGTTTTAATCGAACCAAACATGCCAAGTGTGAACACACACCCTCAATAATAACTGAAAATCTGAGACATGCAGGACCTGAGAAATGGTGTATTTATGTTGGTAAAAGTTGCCATCCAGTTTGACTCATGGGTGAATATTTGTATAAATTAAAAAATCCAGTTTCATTCTGAGGAAATGTCTTTTTTTTTTTCAATTCAAAGTGTCCAACTGAGAATTTTTTTTTTGCTTTAATTGTATTTTTTGGGGGGATTTTTGGAAATTATTGGCCCCATTTATATTAAGTGTCGTTAATATTATGTAGACTAACTTAAATGTATAGCCTAATTTGATACAGTGCACTTACACACGTTTTTATATAAATACATGCATGTAATTGTCACTGTATTAATTTTTGTAATTACATCTAACCACACTGTTGACTCTACCCTTAACCTTACCTACATTCCACCTCAATAGTAGCAAAAGTGCATTGCAATTATTATTATTGTTTCTTTTTCGTAAGTACATAGTGGTTAAAGTTACAACTTTTTAAAAGATGTTGATTGAGGTTTGTCAGGTCAGGTTTGGGTTTGGGTTAGGTGCAAAACAAATGCATTATATGTGACGCATTCCTCATACCACAAACTACCAGTAATGAAAAAACAGTGCATCAACCTTCAAAATGATAGACGCATCTATCATTTTGAAGGTTGATGCACTGTTTTTTCATAACTGAGACACATGGAGTGGAGGAGTAGAGTGCATGGGGTGGGTGGCGGTATGGTATTCCCCTGCGCCCCCTTTTCTGAGCAGATGTGAGAGGGGAAATAGTGATGGTGTAGACAACGAGGAGGAAGAAAAAGTAAAAATACTCCTCACTGATGAGCTTCATGTATGGTTATTTATACCAGAGGTAAAAGCTTGCTTTATTCTCCCACTTAAGCCACTCTGGACTAGTTATCATATCAGTTCCCTGCACTCTACTGATGACTTTATATAAATACAGGTAGTAAACATGAAATTGTTAGTATCTTAATTCACACATTCAGCTACCTCTTTTTTTCTGCAGTTTTTTTTTAGCTTGTGTTGTCAAACCTCAGTGTGCGTGTAGGACACTGGTCACAGTCAAGACAGGAGATTAGCATAGTCAAGCATATTATCATAGCGACAGGAAGAGCTCTGTGGGTTTTAAAACACCATTAGTGTGTGTGTGTGTGCGTGTGTGTGTTAAAAGAAAGGGAGTGTAAAGTGTAGGAAAACAGATCTATGTGTGAAAAAAAGATGAAGAGATGGGTGGAGACTCGGCACTGCAAAACCGTTAAACAGACAAAATGCCAAAGCAGCGCTCAGAGCCATTCAAAGGTGAGTATGACTTAACTAGAACTACTTGCAACAACTGCAGTTTCATCATTGCACTCAGGGATGATTACATAAAGGACATCTTAATGTAATGAGTCAAGAAGAATTGCAGAGGGTAAATGCTGGAATTTTTACCTTTGCATAAAACAGCAATATTATAAAAGGATGCAAAATATTTCTGGGAATTTTTCCTGATTTCAGTGGGAGCAATACAGATTTAAGTCATAGCAGAAAAATGTTTTTCCCCATTCTATGATACAATTTGTGACAACACCGATGCCTCATTCAAATAAATATTTTGATGTTAACACAAATGTAGTCTTTTGCTGCTTTCTGCTTTTCTGCGACAACAAATAATAATAGGCCTAATGCAATCTATTATTCATTAATCCATTCATTTATTTGTGGTCAGTTCAAATGGATATTCTAACATGAGACAAATCTTAAAGTATTCCTTGTGGACACCTGAAGAATGTTTAATATATTCTGGATCACACAGGTGACATTAATTTAATATTCATTTTCCGTGAGCAAGCATCTTCACCATGTTCCTTTTTTTTCTCCTGTTACAAACATCATTAAAAACTTTCCTAAAATCATGCTTTTCTTAATAAAAATATTAGGTTTATCTTAGGTATATATATATATTTATGATAAAAATAAACATTAATAAAACATATAAATAAACTTGCCTTCAGAAATTACAAATATGGCTCTTTTGCATAGTTAGTATGGATAACCTAAACATATTTTACGTATTGGTTAAAAAAATAAACTTTTGTCAAATGGGATATCCATTGCCTGCCTTGCATCAGTGAGGATTTCATCACATTTAAGGGCGTAAGATAGAGTGATTGCTATCTTTCAAAGATGATATGCAGGAACTGCATTCTGAGGCTTTCACAGAAATAAAAGCTCACTTTAGAAGCCTCAGTTGCATTGGCCACATACTTCACTTCACTGCCATTGAGAACACTCGTTTTATTCACTTCATCATTTCATTTCTCTCTTTCACTGCGCACATTTGAATGTGCCACATTAACATGTACAATAGATTTTATATTAAAACATGCCTGAAACAAAGTGCAATAGATGCTGTCATATATGGAGGCATTATGCTCTTGAGATGCGCAAAAGTTACAAACATAAACTGTGAAACTGTTATTTTAAGTGCACGGATGTGAAAACCATTCTCTTTTTTTTTTTCTTTAAAAGATTGACCAAAGTTGTTTTAATCGCAGCAATAAGTTAAAAACTGTACTGAAATATAAAAAAAGCGGTTATTGTTTTCATTATTTTCTTGCCTACAAATGAAGGCCTATATTACATTGTTTTTAATTGGTTATTATTCGTATATTCGTAAAATAAACTTTGTTTGTCAATACATTTGCGTGAATTAGTTTCTCAGTAAGAAAGTTAGATGAATCAATTCTCTCAAATAATGTGAGAAGTGTTTTTGTCTCGCGCGCGGTCTATTTTTACACAATCGATCAATAGAGTTTCTCTTGTGCTGCACATATGACTCGTTCCGTGAGCATTAACGAGTGTACACGAAACCAAACAAGGGTAGAAAAGAGAAACTCGAGAGACACATGCATCAACGGAGATAGAAATGACCAAAGAATTCGTGTAAGTCATTTTCGTCTGACTATCACTGAAAATAATATTAGTAGGCTAATAAAAACTGCTCACAAAAATTGTTTAAAAAAAAAGATTATTAAGTAAAACAAACTTGCTATGATCACTTTCTGATCACATTTTACTGTTTCAACCACTTTGAATTTAATTAAGTGATGAAGAAAATCGAGTAAAAATGAAAGTGAAATTGATGAAAACATTCTGTTCTAACATAATGAAGAAAACTAAAAAAAAACATTTCTGAATAATACATTTTAAGTTGGAGGGACAAAACTAACTTTTCGATTTCATACATTTCCTCAGACATATTATTGATAAAAAGGGGGGTGTTATTAAAATAGCTTTTTATTATTTTTCAGAAAAAAATGTGTTCTCAACTCCATATTGCTAAAAATAGTGTGGAATTTTCATACTGAGCAACAGGTGCGTATCGTAAGATAATGAAAGTAACGTTTAAAGTTGTATTTAAACGAAATATTAACAACACACACAATTAAGTAATATATTTCGTATAGCCTATTTGAACTTTATCCTCAATTAAATTACTGGATAAAAATTCCACTCAGTTCCACGTTTGGGACATCGGGAAACTTTTTCCATATGGAAAACTGAAGAAAAAAAAGATGCAAAAGAAAAGAAAAGAGAAAGAAAAGTCAAACATAGCATCTATAGTTCAAACTTCTGATGAAGAAGCAGCCCTCGCGCAAAAGTAATGTAATTACGCGTACGCGCGCGGCTAACACGCCTTGCGCCATGTCAAGAGGATATGAAGCTCTTGCACCTGCTACAGAGTTCAGGACAAAAACTTCCATTACGCCAGTTCTTCTCTCTCTCCCTTACTTAAATTGTACATTTTAATCAGCTCTTTGACATGTGTCACTTGGAAAGGCCCGTGCGGGTTATTTACCTGCTATTCCTTGAGTTTGCAGTATGAAGCTCTTCCAGCTGTCCCCCGCCGCTCCATGCGCACAAGTTCTCAGCGCCGCGGCAGCAGTCTGGAACTCTGCGCGCGGTCCCTCCCCTCTCCACTGCACTTCCTCCTTCCAGCCCAGCATTGCTATGTCTCTGTGCTCGTGCGAGACATTTTGCAAGCTTTTATTCCAGAGGCCGAGTCTGCTCGGGGAATCGAGGCAGCGGAGCTTGGCACTTCGCTTTGTATCGTGCCAATAAAAGCTGACACCCAGTAGACCATCACTGGCAGCCATGCATGAGATGGGATGAGGCGGGTTAGGACAGTGGACTGATCATTTCTTATTTATTTATTTCTCTCTCTCAGAGGGACAGGGTCTCTTGATCTCGTGTCACCTGTTTTAGTGATGTCGGAAGAATAGGCTACTTTTCTTTAATGAGAAGTGAAATGATGCCTATTTAAAAGAGAAACGGAAAAGTGCACTATAGCGTTTCATTAATTAGCCTAATTGCTTTGGGGAAAGGGCCGGAGCCCACTAGAGGGCCTCATCAAATTGACAAGGGGCCCCAGATTGATTTAAAATATTTTACAATTATTTAAGAAACAATTTACTAACAAGAGTGCTAAATATGAGCACTAAATATGAGCACAGCTTGTGTCTGTGGCCCAATCGAAGCCATGGTGAAAACATTTATGGCCATGGGCGATCACAGTCCTCTGCCAACTCCAGGAAAACCATTACCATTTCCACTTCTGCTCCGCACCACACACATACTCTGGTCTGGAAGGATGAATGGATAAGGTGAATGATACAAAACAGTAAAAAAGTCCCAGAACTGTTATGCTAAAAATGAGCACTCTTCAAATGCCACTTGACCAATCAGATTGAGAACCAGAACTAGCTGCTTATTCTTTTGTTGTCATTACTGCATGTTTAATATTTGCGTTAAGAGCTATACATTGGATTAAAAAGGGTAACACTTTAGTTTAGGGTCCAATTCTCACTAATAACTAGTTGCTTATTAGCATGCATATTAGGAGATTGGCTGTTTATTAGTACTTATAAAGCACATATCAATGCCTTGTTATGCATGACCGTACATCCCTTAATCCTACCCAATACCTAAACTTAACAACTACTTACTGACTATTAAAAGCAGTAATTGGGAATGTATTGAGGCAAAAGTCGTAGTTAATAGTTAGTCAATAGTGAGAATTGGACCCTTAAATAAAGTGTGAACAAAACATTCATTAGAAAATTCAATTAAAAGTCTAAAATCATCTTCGTCATCCAAGAGGCATGGTGCATATTTTCTACGGGGGATTAGAGGGTGGAGTTAAAGGGTGAGAACTACTTCCAATGTAAACTCTGCATCCACATGCATACAATTCAAGCTAACTGTTATTTTTAAAACTAAACTCTTATAAGAAAATTTTCTGTATAGAAACATATGATTCTGACTTAATTATGCCAAAAGGTTCAATATAAGGAGACATGTCTTAAGTGATTACATAACACTTTTAATGTTTTTGCTAGTGATAAGGTATGTTTACGAGCTGTTTAATTCATAAAATGTAATAATGTAAAATTCAAATCAATTCAAATTAAATCCACAACATGATCCCATGATGGGAACCCCTAAAAGCACCTGACAGAACCCTTTTTATTTATTTATTAATAAATCATTTCTTTATTTTATTAAGGTTCTACCATTTCTTCTACAGTAAGTGTGTGAAACTGTCAAATCACACTTGACTGATTTGTATCTTCTGGGATTTCAATTAGATTTTAGAAAACACCATATGCTATATGGATGTTGCTTGATATGAAAGCTGCACATCCTGTCAGTTTAGTTAGAAGGCTGAAGGGTACTTCACGTTCAGAGAAACAGCAGCGTTCTCCAGACCAATGCCTGGTTTCACAGACAAGGCTTAAGCTAGTCCCAGGCTAAAATGCATTGAGTTGTTTTAACTGAAAGCAACTTGCACTGACATATCTTCAAATATGTCAGTGCCATGGTTTTGTCTCAAGATTCACACCAGTGATTTTTTCTAAGACACATTAAAAAAATCAACCGAAATGCCCTAATTTAACTAAGGCCTAATCCTGGCTTAATCTAAACCCTGTCTGTGAAACCGGGCCCAAGTCTATTATTTTAGTGCATAGAGTTTGGTTGTACTTTTAAATGACTTTTTTGCATGTAGTAATTTTTTTTTTTTTTTTTAATTAAAATGTTCATTCTTTTGACATAAGATTGTGACAGTACAAACTGACCTGTTCAATATTACTTTATTAAAATATATCATCAGAATGGATGTACTAACAATACTGCTACCAATCATCCAAAGAGATATAATTTTTGCATTAATATTTATAGAAATAGTCAATAAATAATGAGTTAGAAAGCAATTTTGGCTTAAACAAATAGGGTGATTTAATTCCCATGTTTTGTCATTATGAAGTTTCCGGTACATTTGCCTCATGGCTGTGGTATTGGCTTTATAAATGAGTTTTTTTTCCCCCCAGTGATCCAAAAGTTTGACCGTTCCAGGTAGCCATATCTCAGGAGCTGCTGGTGCTGAGTCATGTTGAGTCAGGAGGCCACTCTTATCTCCAGTCTCCAGGAGGACTTTTTCAGGCTGTTGGGTGTGGGGTGAAACGGGAACCCTGGATTATGGTGGCTTGTTTTTTTGTTTTTTTTTCAGGACAACCTGTTGTTTAAGTTAGTGACCCTCTGGAGAGCCAGAAAGTTTTCTTCTTCTGATATTATAATAAATGGAGTAAAAACTGTCTGTGACATTACAAAGGGACAGTCTAATCTCCAGAGATGACGTTGAGGGAATGCTTTTGGTGTAGGGTGACTCAGCAAACTGTGTTCTTGCTCCAGTCACACCAGAGCCGGAGAAGAGGCTTGCAGAGCCATGGAGGTGCACGATGACTCACAAAAACGGCCATGGCTGTGAGCTTGTGTAGCCTTTTGGGGGGTTATGATAATGAATGTATTTTCTTCAGTCAATAAACTTTTGGACTGTTTTGTGTTAAACATTAATTAGTGAAGTTAACATTTTCAATTCATTCATTTTCTTTCCGCTATTCAGTGTTGGGTAAGTTACTCTAAAAAAAAAAAAGTAATTAATTACTAGTAATTAGATTTCTGTATTAATTACTCTCTGTAAAAAGTATTTCATTACTTATTATATTCTAAATCCTATACCAAGCTCGACCAGTTGAACAATACAAGGATAGACATGAAACTGCTCTTTTAATTCTTTCAAATAAGTAATATACATTTGCATAAATTATTCTTGAACTGACCAAAGTTTTTAAAGGGAGAAGGTTACATTTAAAACATACATTTTATCATTAGATGTTCAGTTTTGATGCTAAATCCACTATTGTTTCATATACTGTTCTATAATCCATAGAGTACTATCATAATATTATAAAGAATTCAAAGATTTTATAAAGAATTTTAAGTATAATTTGACATACTTGCAAAGTTACATATAGTCAGTAGAATGTCTGTTGGGGAGCATCAAAATAAAGTGTTAGCAGATATCAAGCAGACAGTCTATTAATACTCTAATGAGAGTTAGTTGACATGTAGCAGCAAAGTTACTTATAGTCAGTAATAGAATGTCTAAAATTGACTGTCGGAATAGTGTTACCTTAAATTTCATGTAATATTAAATAAAGAATATGCATATTCTTTTTTTATATATACATAACACTACAATAGTAATGCCATAGAGTAAAAAGCTTTTCATATTTTTGGAAAGTTTTTATTTATTTATTAAATAAATAATAGCCTAATGTCAATTCAAATGTATTTATATAGCTTTTTTCACAACATATTGTTTCAAAGCAGCTTTACGGAAAATCACAATGTTAATGTTTTTAATATATTACTATCTATGCCTTATGTAATCTGCCATTTAGCAGATTAAAGCTGGGTAATAAGTTTCATTTTGTGACGATATAAACAATTTAAGTATATTGAGATTTGCTAGCCTATATAGTATAAATTGCTTTACACGTGTACTCTATGTATGCGGATTGAAGTTGGATTCTTAACCAACTTTATATAGAGAGCTAGATACATTTTGGGACAAATATACAGTATACTATATACAGTAGTATATCACTTTTGTAAAAAAAAAAATATATCAAAGTTGTAGATAAAACAGATAATTGGAATACATACTTATCAGTCTTTCTACTTTTCTTAGATTATTGCTAGTAAGTTTTTACAAATAATTACGTTTCTAAATATTACTTTTCCAGTGTGTATGTGGATAAAGTTGGATATAATATACTGTAGATCCTACTTTGTATATTGAGCTGTGTGATAATAGTTTACATTTTCTGAAGATTAAAAAAATTGCACTTATACTATGCACTATGTTCTCAGCAGTCTAGTTTATGAATTTTATACTGTTATTTTGTCATCCAGCATCAGAGTCTGATTTGGCCTCGTAAAGAAAGCTGCGACAGTTGAGTGCATGAAGTGTCCAACATTCCACACTTCGTTTTCCCGGTTAATTAAGCGCATCAACCAGGTATTTAAAGTGCACTGTTTCTATTTGGAGTTTTCAGTGTGAACACTACTCGTACTATTTATACCACGACACAGCATAGAATAGTGCATATGCAAATTAGGACGCACCTCTTGTTTTCTCAAGTGATTTTAAATTGCAGGCATACATTTGGGGGAGTAAATAAACAAGTGAAAGTTAGGAAAATATAAAAGTACAACATTTGAGAAAATGTCTCGTAATACAATAGGTTTCTATGTCAGCATTATAATATTTGGTATTTTTTAAATAGATGCTGAAAATGTTAATTTCTACATATACTAATACATTAATATTAAATAAAGTTGTATAAATTAACCTTAGTTTTGTATTATCAATAAATATGAATTAACAATGAGCAATAGTATAAATTAAAGTTATCTTGGATTAATAAAAGCTGTAAAAAAAATAGTAGTTTAGATAATGCAGAAATTCCTAGCACTTATCACTGAGAGCTAACTCTTGGAATTAATAGGATGAACATTCACCAATTTCACCTTGGAGAAACAAGAGCTATTAAACATATAATCTTAAGTTATCCAGTAGCAAATTTAAACCAACGAGGAATGAACAGAGACATCCTCTTATTGCTTTCATGGATCTTTGAGCAGCTTTCACACCCCCTAATTTATAGCTTTAACAACATGTAATCCATAATTGGTTTAACTACCTAAATAAATCAGAGATGTTCGAGATTGGTAATCACCTTAATAGTCTGCTGTATTTAAATTCTTAATCTGGGGCTGAAAAATCTCACTTTCTTTGGGAATGTATTATGCAGGGGATGTCAGAGTAAATTAAATTCCCCTCTGCACACTAAAGCATCAATTTCCTTATGGTAATTATCTGCGGGTATGGATGTGTCACTGGAGGGAGTCAGGCATGCTTGACATTTAGCCTCTTTATGTGGAAATGATAAAAAAAAAAGCTAAGCGGCGGGAGGGAAATTAATCTCTCGGCCGAGCGAGTATGGTGAAGACCCTAAAGGACTGTCGCTGAATCAGTCATTATGTTTGTGACCCCATCTTGAAAATTGAGCCAATGATACGATGTAGACAAGAAAAAGACTAAGCACAAGGAACTGAGAAGAGTGGAGAAAAGTATAGTTTAAATGATCATCCTCTAAATTTGGGGGGCACTTTTTGAATGGTGCGCTAAAAAATAGATGCTAATACTTGGAATGGACAGAGGTTAAATATCAGAGGAGTCATTGCTGTGTGCGCTCAAATGTCAAAGGCAACTAGCCAAAATCTAGTGATTTGGGGATCTCTCAAGTTGACTGAAAACAGCAGCTGCTGTAGCTTTAGTATCTTAGGTTACTGAATTCTGAATCCAGTTATTACAAAACATGGGCATACTGTAGACTCATTGAAAAAACATGCCAGACAAAACTCTGAAAACATACCTACATACAATTCATTGACAACAAAACACAAATGACTCTCAATACTATGTTATGACCTCAAAATACATTTTCTGTAGTGCATGATTTGTAAACTAATACATTTTGACATTTGCATCACATAATCAGCTCCATCTGTATGGATTTTCTGATGTAGTAAACTTGCTCGATAGCTTATCTGGTATAGCATTGCACTTAAAGGACTCAGGTAGAGTCACGATACTCAATAAAAAAGCTCAAAGATTTGTAGATACAAGCAAAAATGGCATGCTTGCTAACACTTTCGTTTAGGGTTTAGTTTAGAAGGTGCGTTATTTTCAAACGTGGTAGCACCACTCACCAGACATTTCATCTCCGAACTGCTGCAATAAATACAACAACCAATTTAATAAAACATGGCTACATTCACATTCATCTGTTTGGGAGAAAACTGAACATGCTTACCACCCACTGGACATTTTACTTTGAAAGTGTTGTGAAACATGCAAGAAGCAATGCAATTTCATTTAGCAGAAATGTTGCCTCAGGCACATATTTCTAAAGAGCCTAGCCTAGGATAAAACCAAAAAGAGTTAAGCTACGTATGTAAGTCAGCAGAAATTCATAATTAACCCATTCAGTTTTTTTTAAATGCACCTTTCTTGTCTTAATTTTACTTCATTTTTCTTTAGTTCATTAGTGGTACTCATCTTGCTGGATCTGTCTGATGCTTTTGACAGTTAACCACAAGATCCCCGTCAACCCTCATGACACTGGGCATCTCAGGAACCCCACTCCAGTGGTTCAAGTCTTACCTCTCATAGGTCCTACAATCAGGGTGTCTTGGAGGGGTGAGGTGTTTAAGTCGCAACATCTAGCTACTGGGGTGCCTCAGGGTTCAGTGCTTGGACCACTTCCCTTCTCCATCACTAGGATCCGTCATTCAGAAACATGACTTTACCTATCACTGCTAGGCTGATGACACATTCCAGGCTGATGATCAGGCATTAGCTACTCGCATCTCAGCCTACCTGACAGACATTTCTTGCTGGATTAAGGACCATCACTTTAACTCAACCTTGCAAAGACAGAACTGCTTGTGGTTTCAGCCAACCAAACACTTCATTGCAACTTCTCCATTCAGCTATGCTCATCAATCATAACTCCTTCCAGGACAGCCAGGAGTTGCGATTGATGATCAGTTAAATTTAACAGACCACATTTCTAAAACTGTCCGGTCCTGCAGATTTGCCTTATACAACATTAGGAAGATCAGGCCCTTCCTTTTGGAGTATGCTACACAACTCCTTGTCCAAGCTCTTGTTCTATCCAGACTGGAAAATAGTAATGCTCTCTTGACATGTACTATCAAACCTAATGCATCTAAATTGTAACTTTGACTTATTTAGGTAGTTAAAATTATAGATTGCATGTTGGAAGAGATGTTTGAGATTGGTAATCACATTAAAGGGATAGTTCACACACACACACACACACACACACACACACACACACACACACACACACACAAAAAATTCTGTCATAATTTACTCACCCTCAAGTTGTTCCAAACCTGTATGATTTTTCTTCTTCTGCTAAACACAAAAGAAGATATTTTGAAGAATATGGGTAAACAAACAGTTGATTGACCCCATTGACTTCCATAGTATGGAAAAAATACTATCAATCAATTTGTGTTTATTTTTATAGCACATTAAAAAATAAAAAAAAATACACAAGTTGACCAAAGTGCTTTGGAAGTGCTATGGAAGTCAATAGGGTCCCATGAACTTTTTGGTTAGAAACGAAAGAAAGAAAGAAAGAAATTCATACAGGTTTGGAACAACTTGAGGGTGAGAATTTTCATTTTTGAGCAAACTATCCCTTTAATAGCATTTATAGCTTAACAAAGTTTGTTTGTTAAACTGCTTCTATTGCCCTCATCATTTATAAGTCACTTTGGATTAAAGCGTTTGCTAAATGACTAAATGTAAATGGTGCATCTTATTCCAAAAAAGACTCTTCCCTCCTGAATCTATTCTTCCTCTGGTACTTCTGTATCAATCTTAAAATACCTTAACAAATCCTCCCAATGTATATAATGAATAAAATGACACTAGAGTTATAGATTTAATGATTCAAAGTCAATCATATTCATTTAAAAAAAAAAATATTTAGACATGTTAACACGTTTAGTTGTAATGAAATTATGAAACATAATGAAAGTATTAAAATTTAAATAGTAATGTGTAAATGCTGGGCTCATATGCAATTGATCAATGACTTTTGATTAACATCCTGTCTGGATCTGATAAATTACAGAATAGAACAGTCAAGGTGAGGTCACATTTATCATTATTCAGTGGGTTTTGTGGGTGAAATTCAGCCATTTCAATATGAATTCACTCAATCTGGTATTTTGCGAGAGGGTAAAAGATTTCGCAACCGGTTCAAGTTGGTCACACAAATGAACTGTGCTGACCAACAGAAAAGGTTGTTATGCTGCTTGAGCCTTTGTGCTTCATACATCGCTACACTACTGCCAATAGACAATGGCCTTTTTTCCCCCCTGAAATTTCAATAATGTGACAGCACCTTTATAATTCTCAGACATTACTTGTGCCTATTTTGTAGATGTAGATCTCTATATCAAAAGATAACTAGGAAAATCTCAGAAACATAAGAGACTGTGTCAACAACTTACATCTATCGTGCTGAGTCTGTCTCATCTCGGAAAGGTCTTTACTTTGTCTAGCGGGCTCATAGCGATGGGCTGAAGGTCACCTAAGAGAAAGCGCTTCAGAGCCTGAAACAAAAGACAAGTCCGATCCCTTTCATTGGCCCCAAGATGGACGTTAGTTATCTGTTAACCACATCTCCATCTCTGGAAATACCGGCGCAGAGAGGGTTTTATTCCCACCATGGCTCAGCTGTCAAACTAACTGAAAACAGAAAGTTTTCCCACTGCCCAAAAACAGATATGATGTTCAACAAAGTGCAAAGCATTAGTTACAATGACATCTAACAATTTCCTCAACTCTGTGTACCGACTTTGTTTGGTTTTTAGCACCTTTTCAGTCATAAATACATGTTGATTCTTACTAGTTGGTGTTTTCAACTGGTGGATTCAACTGAGCTCCTTCCAGAGCGGACTGTTTTCAACAAAGAAGTGCAAAGACGACAAAAGGGGAAACAGGAAACCAGCATGTTCCTATTTCCTGTTAGCAGGTGAAGCTGCACTAGTATTCTTTCTTTTATTCTCCAAACCACAGTTCTTGGGGTGCAAAACTAGAGCATTTCAGAAATGCATGTCTTTTGTTTTCTTTTAAGATCAGATCAGGCAAAGTTTTATTTGCATTGCCATTGCTGCGTAACCACAAAGTAGCTCTTTGCACAAGCAGTTTGTAAGTGCTTTTTGAACGTACCAAGGCAAATAAAAGAATGCAGAAGAGGATCTGTGAGAAAATGATGCACTCATTTATCCGCATGGACACACATATAGTCAAATACGTAAGCCCACACACACCCACACCGACACCGAATGTTTAAGACAATGGCACATCCTCCACATTTTCAGAAGCACTCATCTAAATCAAGGGAAATTATGCTAATAAAACATCTCATTATTCAGAGCTCAGAGAATCAGTCATTGACATAGCATCATTATAGATCTATTCACAAACACAGATTGGATTTCATGAAAAGGGAGGCTCTCATTTCCCACACTTGTTCATCATTTATTCTTCTCTTTAAGGAACATGTCGTACTTTTAGAGTTATTTCACGGAAAGTACCGGGGCTTTGGGATGAAAGTAAGGGTTTCCCGGTGGGACAGTGGTGATCATTCCTGATAGAGGGGCCTTGTGTCCGTAGTGTGGGGAGCTCCAGGTGCCAGGACGGCTTCTAGAAACGGAACACTTGGTGAAACTGGGAATGTTCACATTAAAGGAATATTCTGGGTTCAATACATGTTAAGATCAATCAACAGCACTTGTGGCATAATCTTGATGAAATTTGTATCTGTAAATGTTAAAATACCCCGTGATAGCCATATAGCCACAAGACATAAACAATATATATATTGGTTTTAGAGTGAAAATGCAGCTGTAACAATAACAACTTGACAGCTCAAATAATACAGAAATTTGAACAGAAGAATTCATTTTAGTGCTTTTTAAAAAAAATTATAAGCCCAACATTTCTGCTTTTAAATCATTTCCAATGTAAGTTCCTCACTAACCTCGGTTTTCTTTTTTTAATTAAAAGGTTAAAATGAAATAAATTGACTTTTTGTGGTAATCAACATGCCACAAATATTGCTGAACAGGCTTAACTTGTGTTGAATGTGGAATATTCAGTTAATCAAAAATATATAGATGGTAAAGACATTAAATTATTTTTTTTAATTAATTAATTAATTAATTAATTAATAGCTATTAGAATTGATAAAATGTATTATAAATAATTAGTTGCCTCACTGTAACATTTATTTATTAATAATTTGTCACACCACAGGACTATTTCACGTGAACTAATGAATGAAAAAAGGTTAAAAAGTGTGAAAATTAGGTGACCAGTCCCAGTTCCCTTTTACATTTTTAACCTCAAATCTTGATGTTGATGGAAAAAGTTCATAGACATCTTATGTGTCAACTACTGTATTTATTTACTAATGCTTTGAAAAAGGAAGTATCATGAAGTTATTCGCTTGTGTCCGATTTTCCAGAAAGCAAACTATGTAAGAGTCTGTCTTATAAGACGAAAGCTGCAGAGGAATAAAAACAGTTTGGAGACATTTGAATTATCACCAAATAAGGAGTAGGAGAGAGTTAGAGGAAGTTGTAAAGGTGCTGACTTTCTGCTGTAAGGAAAAGAGATGGGAGGTCTGTTTTATCGGCAAAGGAAACAGATTTCAGAGCACCGGTGACTCCAGGAAAATGGATCTGGGTTGAGTAAAAACCACGATTACCACCGGCAACAAGAGCAGCTCAGCTTTGGATAGGGCCATCTGGAGAGGTCTGCTCCAAAAAGACGGTAAACCAGCTCTTCTGGGGCCCAGCTAGGAAACACGTTTTCAAAAAAAAAAAACCTGTCCTTGGGTGAGGAGTTTGGTTTTCCTCCAGTGCTTCTCTCAAACACCACCTCCTCCTTCTTCCTCTTTACTCGAGCTGCAGATGCCTCATTCCTACTCATTCTGAAAGCTGAGGACGTTTTACGTTGCAGACAGAGGGTGGAAGAGCACCACTGGGCTGGTTTTGTTCCTGGTAGTGTCTGTCTGATTTGACTTTTCACAAACCCACAGAGAATAACAATGCTTCATGACTTTAGTATATCACAAAGTATATTCTTTCACGTCTCTTTACTTATCTTGTCTGCTTTATAAGATGAGCTGAACTTTGTTCAGCTTGACACGTCATGTTGGGGTCTATAAATGATGCTTCACACACCTCCAGCCGTAGCCACATGCTGCAGAGCGTTGAAGAGCATAAAACTAGGGCAGACACAGAGCACAGCCACAAACAGAAGGCGAACATGCGGGAGATTGAAAAAAATAAGTTTGACAGGACACATACTAAGGCAGAAACAGAGACAGAGATCAGAAGATAAATGACTGCAATGGTTTGTGGGAAACGCCTCTTCAGAGTGATCCTGTGATGTGCTTACTGTTACAGGGCATGTTTACTACCGCACTATTAGAATGTGCAATGTCACAGACTAGGCTTGATTCATTAGCATTCACCTTTAGATCATAACTTTACCACTATTATATTTAAAGCAAATGTAAATACATTTACTTAGTATTCTGACCAGATAATTATGCAAGATTTATATTAGAGTATTCAATTCTTTATATTCGTATTGATTTATAAAATTGTAAATTATGAACTCATTTCAGGGAATTTGAGTGTGTTTGTGGTTTTGACCACAAAAGTTGACTTCCAAAAGAAGGTTGTGAATACAAAGCACTGCTGCCACCTACTGAGATAAAAGTGGTACAGTGAGGTGTTATGTTGGCCATAATAATAAAAGGTATGTATTGCATTTCTCAGTGTAAAGGTCTTAAAGGTTGAATCTCATAAAAATGATGGGTCTCAAAATTATTATTATTATTTTTTTTGCATAAAGAAATTGATTAGGCATACTATTTTTAGGACCTTTAAGATTGTTGTCAGTTTGTCAATATTTACATAGCAAACATTGCAAATTCTGCAGTTACTATATCACATGCATTTTACTATTGACTTTTTTTTGTAATTCCCATTATTGTCATTGGTGATTGTCATTAGGTTCTAATACAGAGCAGTGTTATTTTAGTGATATTTAGATAATATATTTAGATTTATTATTATTTTTGTATTGTAAAAATTGGTATTGTAAGTTTTTTTTTTAAATGTCTATATAGTTTTTATTAATTTTTATTTCAGTTTTAGTTTGTTATTTTAGTATCAACACTGTAAAAATAGTTGCTGCCTTAAATTTAAGTACAATCAACTCGGATGTTTACGTAATTTCATCTAAACTTAAATTAAATTAAACTGGCTTAAAAAATGGGTTGAATCTTGTATAACTTGTAAAAAAAAAAGTTGAAAATTGCTTAACTTATTTTGATGAGTTAAAGCAATGTAAAAACACGTTGTCACAACCTGATTATATTTTTTTTACAGTGAAATTAAACTAAATTAAAATAAGAAATGCTGCCTTAAATTTATATTGTATTTCAGTTAATGTTTAATTTATTTCAAGCATCAACATTTTTTTTTAATGGTTTTACTGAAGTGTTGGTTTCAGTTTATTATAATAATGCTGATGCAAAGTAACTCTTGTCTGTTAGATAAATGCACTAAAACAACTTTTTTATTATTTAGCATTTGTTTTGCATTATATTTATGGGAATGCGATTTGTTGCATTATGTTTAATGAGATTTTGATTAAGAGTTTTATAAACGAAGAAGGATAGAAAGACCAAGAACGATTATAAGAAAGACCATAAGTGATTATTTGTCAAGACAATAACGTCGTCACAAAGCAAAATATCCATTCATTCATTTTCCAAACCGCTTGTCCTATTTCGGGTTGCGGGATAATGGAGTTGATCCCAAAGTCTTGGGCCATAGTCAGGTAAACATCCTGGACAGGTGGCCAGTCCATCGCAGACAAAGCAAACTATCTTAATCTGAACTGTTGTGATGACTTACCCTGCTGTTTGTGGAGTATACGGTAAAGAAGGCAGCATGTCAGCTGAGGTCTGTGGTCTGTCAAACTTGGCTTTTCCAGTGTAACCAGGTATAGTAGTTCGGCTACAGAGAAAACAAAACATCTTCCTTATAAAGAGCTCTGTAGAATGGTTAACTTATGATGTATACACAAAAACACAGATCAGACTAATACTAGCTGGCAGGGGTGTGAGGAGGCACTGTGGTCCGCAGAACAGTCAGAGGGACAAAGTCTTCTTTTGGGACGTCCACACTGTCCATGTTCTCAGAGCATACCGTACCACTGTACAGGACAGAGAGATCACAAATATCTCTCAAAGGCTTAAAGGAACACTCCGACTTTTTGGGACTTTAGCCTATTCACCTTATCCCCCAGAGTTAGATAAGTCCATACATACCTTTTTCATCTCCGTGCGTGCTGTAAGTCTGTCTGATGCAACAACCGCTAGCCTAGCTTAGCACAAAGACTGGATGTAAATGGTTGCAGCTAGCATACTAATCCAAATAAGTGACAAAATAACGCAAACATTTTCCTATTTACATGTTGTGATTTGTATAGTCACAGAGTGTACAAAAAACAAAGTCACATCATGAGACACAGACATATTTTAACCGTATAAATACTGGGAACTATATTCTCTGAAGGCGAAGCACTGCTACTTGGGCGGAGTGTTAACCGCAGCACCTGAGACGCTCTCTCTGCTCCTCACCACGGCGCTTCTCGGGTGCTGCGGTTATCACTCCGCCCAAGTAGCAGTGCTTCGCCTTCAGAGAATATAGTTCCCAGTATTTATACGGTTAAAATATGTCTGTGTCTCATGTGACTTTGTTTTTTGTACACTCTGTGACTATACAAATCACAACATGTAAATAGGAAAATGTTTGCGTTATTTTGTCACTTATTTGGATTAGTATGCTAGCTGCAACCATTTACATCCAGTCTTTGTGCTAAGCTAGGCTAGCGGTGGGTGCGTCAAACAGACTTATAGCACGCACGGAGATGAAAAAGGTATGTATGGACTTATCTAACTCTGGGGGATACAGTGAGGCTAAAGTCCCAAAAAGTCGGAGTGTTCCTTTAATAAATGTACTGGAAAATAACTAAACAGCAATACACTGACAGCTATGCAACTGAATAGTTTTGAGTAGTTTATAACAAACATTTGTGTATAGAAATGATCATAACTTTACTAAAGATCTCTGCTTCTGCTTACCAATATAAAGGTACATGGCCTGATTTTGGAAACGGACTGGTGCTGTAAATTGAAAACAATTGTCAGAAACAACTCAATTTATTATACACCAATAAACGCAGAACCTAAAGATAAAATGCTGTATCTCAAACAGTAGAGCATGGTATTAAAAATGCCAAGGTCATGGGTTCGATTTCCAGGAAAAGCGAGAACTGATAACAGTGTACCTTGAAAACAGCGTAACTCGTTTTGGATAAGTGTCTGCCTAATGCATTACAGGGGTATTTAAATCACTTACAAGCTGATGGGTTTCCTTGTGTTAAATGTGGCACGCAACTGATGTTTGTTCCAATGGGATCCAATAGCCTGAAAGTAAAGAAATGTCTCTGAATGTCTCGGATGTTCAGCAGAATAACCTCTCTTCCAGTGCAGCAGACTCACCTGCCACGGCTCAGGTCTGCTGTGGTATCGCTTCAGCACGAATCGTTGACTCATGGGGTCAGCCATTTTTTCAAGTGTAGTTGTGGGTGGTTTGTGGCGAGGAGGTAACTTTGAGTCCCAGTCTACATTCTCATAACCTCTATTACAGAGCATATCCACAGTCACATGCATATGCTGGCATATTAGCATCTACAATATCCTTTTTTTCCCACATGGGTGTTGGAAGTCACCATGAAATCAAATATTGTGGTAGTTATTATAAAGGATTTATTAGTACACAACATTATTATTTTAATTCATGTGGTCTCGTAATCTTTCATAAAAAAAACAGACTTCTTGCAATGACTTCTCTTCTCTGATGACGTGTTTACCGGCACGAGGGCGGGACAACCTGTCACTCACATGACATCACAGCAATAGCAAACCACAACCATCAATCAATCCCTGATGGACAAAAAAAAGTCATGCCCTATGTTTTTTCTTGTTCAAGAAGCATGGTCACAATAGGGAAGAAAATACCATAGCAACTTCCAGTTTGAAAAATTGACAAATGTATACCTTGAATGCACTGTAAGTTTTGGATAAAAGTGCCTGTCAAATGTGTAAACAGACAAATGGTAGGCTACAGAAAACACCAATTGGTCAAGTAGAGAGTCTTGGAAGATAAATGGTTGTAGTTCTGCTGTTAAGGGAGTTTTTAGAGCAAACATATTCAGACCTTTGGGCTGCAGAAGTGTAGATGTATTGTCGAGCTGCCGTTGCTCTGCTATCAAAAAGAAGAGATGGTCCTGGACCCTAGGATGGGATAGTAAAAAGAGAATGGCATATTATTAGCAAATGTCCTATGGTCTAAAAGTGTGAAATAATAGGGCAAATATAACATACAAATTATGCTTAAAAATTCTTTCTTTCTTCCATGGAACAGAATAATGAAAAATTTGAAGAATAATTTTTAGCTCTTTTATGTGTAATGACATTTAATAGGGACTGGAGCACGGCTTATGTTTAAAAAAAAGATGGAAAAGCAGGCCGTTATACAAGTAGTTTACCGTAAACAACTCTTTGCATGCAACTATTTGCAACAGTTAGGTTAACAGCAATAATAAGAAATTTCTGTCGTAAAAACAACTATTCAGCTGATGGACACCGTGCTGCGTTGTCATGGGAACATCCCAGGTGAAAATAATGCGCAAATTACGTTGTCTTTCGTTGCTCCCTTCAGCAAGTGGCTCCAAACGGCTACATAATGGCACACAAGTGTCCTGCTCACTCCAAAGTCCCCACTTCAAGGGCTCTGCCCTTCGAAGTAGTTATGTTACATTTGATACTGAAGCTTCAAAGCGCATATCGAGTACGCAGCGCAATTTCTCATGAAGCTTCGATCGTGCCGGAGCGCGTATTGTTTTCAGAGAAACACGTGATCAACAAGCCTCACTTTCTTTCTAGTCACGTGAATGCTTCACTTTGCGTGTCGGAATGTTTGAACCCAGACCACTTAGGTTTTTTGAAGTTTAAGTCCATTTACTAAAAAAAATGTATATGTAGGGTAGACTGGGTACAGTTGAGACATAGGTACAGTTGAGACACCTTAAATAACTTGCGTGCGCAGCCAGCACAAGTTGTGATTTTTGCTGTGCACATGCGTATTAGTGTCCTCTTTGATCGTGGGAAATTTGATCAATGGACGCATCTCCGCTCCGAAGATATCGGCAAAAGTTTTTTTTTTAAGGTAAGACGTTCACTTCACCATGCACACTCCACAATGAATAGCTTATTATCCTTATGTGACTGTTAAACGTAACTGGTATAATCACAAACGTTATTCTGTGCCCTAAAAACGGGCATATTTCATGGGATTGTTTCAGGCATGGTCATTGCAAAATCTAGAGAAATGCGCGAGGTGGCCATCAGGGTACAGTTGAGACACACTGTCTTAACTGTACCCGCGATGGAGTTCTATTAGGAAACACACTGTTTAGTTGTTCAGTGTTATGATAACAGGTTAAATGTCATAATTAGCCAGCATAAGCTGCAAATGAAATAAAAATTTGGTATTTGTGATAATTAAACTGTGTATTATTAATGAATATATAAAATATGTTGTTTCTGTTTTATAAAATTTAACCAGTGCTAATTTAAATAACATTAATGAATTTGAATGGATGAATAAACAAACATGTTGCCCAATTGTTATTTTTTTATTTGTCTTTATTTATTATATTTTCAATGAACGATTAGTTACCTTTACATCATTAAAAATGGGTGTCTCAACTGTACCATGGTACTGTCTCAACTGTACCACATATGGGTACAGTTGAGACAAAGTTGAGACAAAAAGCACCTTATTTTTATGAGCTAATTGTGGAAAATATAAACTACTTATGAGTAATATTGATTGATAATATCTTAGTCTACAAGCTCATGAAATGTCATGTGGCATATCATGTGGAAATTCACGTCTTTTCAGCATCTATTTTTGTGTGAAAAATCAAAACGCAAAAAGTGTCTCAACTGTACCCAGTCTACCCTACCTATATACATAAGCCTATAGCCTATGTTACATGATCATATATTCTGACACATAAACAGCATAATTAGCAGGCTATTAATATAATTGTTACATTTATTTTATTGCCACACTTTAATATGTGAATTATATTATCAAACCGAACATTTAGCGTTGTCAGGCTTTTATTTGTGCTTAATGGATAAAACAACGGCGCTCCGCACTCAGCTGCTCATAAACATGGCTACTATAAATTTGACCTGCCACAAGATGGCGCTGTTTTCGACACTCTTGATACTTCGAATCTTTTCCCTAAACATTCAGGGAAAAGCCTCAGTGCTTCATGAGGCTTAATTTACCCATCCCTACTTCGAAGGGAGTAGGGCACAGGGATGCTCACGAGCAGTAAGCTCGTCCTAGCCGGGTTCGTCACTTAATGGGGTCCTCTATTTTTTTTTTCTTTTTTTCTTCTTCTCACAATTACCTTCAGCGCATTGTGTTTGGTCATACTGGTGGTGAGTTAGATGAAGATCAGATTACACTAATTGACCAATTTATATGCAGAAAACCAAATAATACCAAGGGGTTTATAAACTTCCAAATAGGACTGTAGGCCTATAGACCTTATGCACCAGAGAAACGAGGGCGCCGCCATCTTTAGAATATTGTCTTTGAACTTCCGTTTTTGCGGTTGCTCTTTTATATTTCTATGGCATCGCTGTCCAGGAGTAATTAGCTGGTGAAGTTGATTTACTTATTGTATAGTTAACGAAAGTTATCATGAGCATTGTAGGCCTAATGTTTATGATAAGCATTGTAAAGCATATGTCTTAACAAATGGACCTTGGGAATTTTTTTTAACGAGCGGTTCATTCATAACTACGCAAGATCGCTGTGAAAATACAGACCGGAAGTCAAAAGACAATGAGTTCAGCACGGAAAAGGGGCGTGGCTACATAAGGTCTATATCGCTTATCAAAGAAGATGCTAAAGCTGAAGCACAAATGTTATGCATGTGACATCATGCATTACTTCATGGGAGACATTCTGAAACGTTGATCGTTGAGCTGCTCATGCTGTATGATTACAAACCAATATGTTTACCTCAGTAGCTGACGGCCGGAAGTAGTTATACCCGTTTTGTAGAACCTGGCTGGAAGAATGTTGCGCATAACCCATGGGATTTAAACTTTGTCGGAGACCCAAGTTTGCTTTTAAAGACGAAATTAAACGTACCAAGCACAATGTTCTCTCACCATTCCTGATTTCACCGCGTTCAGCGACAGCGTGGTCTTGCGGCTTTCAGAGCAGAAACAAAAGTCGTTGCTCTCCGAGTGTTTTTTCATCGTCTTTTTTTGTGTCATTTTTGAAGATTGAAAACTTAGTCCCCATTAATTGTAACAACTGCATGTAAAAGAGCGACCAGTACAATCCTTCAAAATGTCTCTTTTTATGCTCCAAGGGAGACAGAGAGTTAAATGTAATACGGGTTGGGAGCAACATGAGGGTGAGTTAATGATAACAGAATGTTCATTTTTGGGTGAACTATTTCTTTAAGGCACATTTCACATGAATTGTTAATGTTCAGTGCTGTAAAAGTGATAAAGCTTCGAACAAACAGCATACAAGAGTAATATTACAGTAGCAGGGATGAATAATTGAGCATGACTGACCGCATTTATTTCATGGCTGTCCTGAGAGGGGTGTTCAGTACTCTGTGCACTTGTCCAACCTGATGACAAAGCAGACGGAATACATTAATAAATAGTAAGAGTTTGAAACTGTTAAATTGCTTTTTGTTACACACTGCTGCAGTCATTCCAAACACGCAGGCCTGTAACAAAAAAGGGTTGCTGTTACCTCCAATCTTTGCCTTCAATGCTGCCTCTGGTTTCATCCTGGAGTTCCACCTCTTGTGCTCAGACTTGTCATATATCAGAGCTGAGGGTCTGGTTGGAGGAGTCTGAGGCCTGTCTCGTGCTCCTGCCGGAACCCACAGATCAGACGGGGTGTAAACAGCTTCGATGAATGGGGTTCTGCTCTTTGCTTCGAGACACACCTGTGCCCCTGCACTCAGTTGACCGGAGCACGGATCTATTAGAGTCAGATAGTCACGCAGTTGCACCAGAGAAGAGTTTTCATCTGGTGTCTGGGCTCCAGGATTGAATTTGGAGAACGCGCGTCTGTCTGTCTTGACCATGCTCTCAAAGTCATACCTTCCCTCTGGACCCTTCTCACAGGGCAGATTCATACTCCTGCACAGCCACCTGCTCACTGCATCTGAACTCTCACAGGGTGTCTTGAGAAGTATCACACGATAAGGTTCTCGTTCCACCTCCATTAATGATTTATAAAAGCAAACAATTAACCAATAAATAGAATATATTTCCATAAACGCAGCATCTCTCTTCTAGATGTGGTGGGATTATGCAGATGGAAGCCGCAGGTGTAATCATCAGCGTTCGCTGTTGCCTGGAGACTGTCATTAGTTTGTCATTAGATTGCCTCCTGTGTCACTGCAGTCAGCGGGAGGTCAAATTACTGGCATGTGTCTGTAAACTGACACGCTGGGACTCAATAGACTCACAATGAAGCTAAAACTCATTATTGAGAAGAATTACAGTCATCTATTTTGGACAGCTACATTTGAGTTAGAATGATGATTAACGGTTTAAGTAGTAATGATTTTAATGCATGTAGGATGTTGAATGCAAAATAACTAACCGTGATAACATTCAATGGTCACTAGGTGGAGACCTAGATCAGACAATTTGGGCTATGATGTTGTCTCACATGATGACGGTATTAGTTCTGATATGAAGCCAAATATAATTATTACACCCTAACCATAACCCAACCTCTTACAGACACCTTTTGTCAGTTTCACACGTGAAATAAGTTATTATTTAATATCTATGTGCAGATATCTTCTATGTTGTAAGAACCACAGTGTCCCCCCCAGTTGTAGAGTTTTCAGGCTGTACTATAAGGAACAATTGGCTAAAAGAGCACAAACACAAATATTATTTAGTGCATAGTTGGTTTTTCTGCATGTTCACTGAAGCAAAATGTATCTCATATAGTCTGCCTCAGTGGCCAAAGATTAGTAGATGGTTGGCTTGATATAAATGGTCAAATGCAATATTCTTCTTTATACTGGTTTAGAAAAACAGCTCTGTCATTAATATGGCTGTGTGTGCTTGGGCTCTTGATGAGGATGCCCTTGCATATCTGGGTGTCACAACATGGCACTGATGACGGTGATAAGCGCTGATAGCCGATGTTAATCTCGGGCCTTCATTAACATAAACACCAAACAAGCATTCAGGAAGCTGTATATGCTGGAAACGGCAGGTTAAAAATAGTCCAATTAGAATTATTTCACAATGGTGCTCTGCATGTATAACACCCATGCCCTCCCGTTTAATTTTGTCAGAAAATATCTAAGTTATCTTAAGAGAATAACATCCAAAAACTTTAAGTCAGCACTGTTTTCAGTGGGGTGGGATGGGGTGGGGTGGGGTGGGGGTGGGGGGAAATTCAGACTTTCCCTTTAATAATTTACACCCTTCTATAATGCTTGCTTTGTTTCAAAAGAAAAAAAATTGGATACTGTATCTCAGGCTTTATGTTCTTTACTGCTGAAAAAGGACTCTAGGTCTGCTCGACTCAATGCAAAAGCTTCAAGGCTGAATATTAATCATTATCCTATTCATTATTTTTTTCTCAAATAGAAAAAGCCTTTCGTTTTTTAAAAAGCATAGCTGTTTTTATGACTTGCACTGGCCCACATTTGAAATTCTCCAATAAGAAAATCATATGTGGCACGATCAAACTATTACCAGCTAACTATAGTGACCAGTAAAATTAGAAACTCATGCTCAGCATTGTGAATATATACAACGAAGATGGTGCTCATTAAGATGTGAAAGCAGATCAAAAGTTTTCTAAGGTTTAATTCAATTAATTGAGGCCATTTGACAGTCATTTAACACTCATTTATGTTATTTATGCCTCCATTTGCATTTTTATTCAGTAATGCACCGCCAACTGCAGTGGTGTTTGCAGAGACGTAAACAAATTCCTCTGTAAACAATTAAGAATTAATGCTCCACTCCAGGCCTAGAAATGCCATCGAGGGCTGCTCACTTCTATAAAATATTGTACTCCTGCAAGAACCCCATCCAAAATACGACCTGCGAATTGTGTTGTTTTCGTGTTCCCGGGTCTGTGTTCACACTAATTGGCCATATTATCCCTGACAAAAACAGTGTGATGACATTTTTGCAACACCATTGGTAAAAGGCTCCTCAGGCATTTAGGCGAAACCACTGTTACGTGATCTGTAAGAGCGGCGCCCCGGGCTAAACAAGAGTTAACCAGGAATGTGCAATATTATGCTGAAAACATGTGACATGCTTTGTGTTAACGTCAGCGAGGCTATTGCTTTTCCTAATTAATGCTCAGTCCTTAATTTATTTGTTCTCTCTTTCGCTTGAGGTTCATTCGGTGGGGGAAATCTTAATGAATTAGAACGTCTTTGGTGCTTGGAGATGAAAGTATTTTTGGCAGGGATATGGGTATTTTTAGTCCAAGAAATAATTTTCTTCTTCAGAGAGAGAGAGAGAAAGAGAGAGATAAAGACAGAGTGAGAGTGCCATGTTGCTGAAATCTAGTTATTAGTCTGCTTGTCTGCTCCCTCCTTCCCACTGCAGGCCCTGACATTATTTAAACAGCCGCACACCCATCCCATGGTGCCCAGCCGTGCACCAGAGCGGCTAATTTGGGTAAGCCTCATTCTTCTAGAAAAAGAAATGCAGTATATTTAAGAATATGACATGGGAGAAGGGACAATAAAGGGTAAAAGAAAGCGATGGAAAAGATGGGAAGGAGGGAAAGAGAGAGAGAGAGCAGTGTGAGCAGCTGCTGTGGAGTTTGTTAGTCAAGCCTACAATGTATAAACCTGGGTTATGTTCAAAAAATATATATATAAATCCTTTTAGAGCTTTCAAGTCACATCCATCACACTCGGTGCAGTCCTTCAGTCTGTTTTAGCCCAATTTGCTTCATTCCACTGTTCTCTATGATACTTGATTCTGATTTGTCAATTATGCCACTGAGCAGTCAAATATTTCAGTAGGACTGCTACAAAAAATACGTTTTTTTCAACTATGCTTTTAAAATACTTATTTTAAAGGAACACCATGTAACTTTTCTTTTTTGTTCGAAATTAAAATGAGTCAATACATCATCAATCCTTCTTCCAGAACATGGTTTGTCTTTCTCTGATTCACTATGGTAAGCCTATTATAAGCGTTTATATTTTAGATCTGTCAGGATGGTCTTGGGAGGAAATTGCTTAAAATGCGTGTCTCGTCATATCCATAAATAGAGAAAAGTTGCTCCGGCTACTTTGACGCGTGTATGGATGTGAGTGGTATAGGTTAGTTGTCACAACAAGTGAGAACGGTTGACATGGAGCAGCTAAATCTCGAACCTACGGGGAATCACCTGTATAAAATAAACGCTGAACAGAGGAGAATCTGTTGGCAAAAAAGAGAATGCGACAGAGCTTGTAATAAAACCAGAAAGAACATTGGCTTGGCTTTTTAGAGATGGCTAGAACTGAGGGATTTAAAATGCGTTTTTATTGCTCAACAGGTGAGTAAGGAATTTTATTGAGCAGATAAATATATGTATATTGCCATATGCTCTCTAACAGAGATTTTTGTTGAGATTTTCATCTAAGTAAACTAGTACTCAAAATCTACACTGTCACATTTAAAGTACACTTAAAAGTATAAACTAAAAAGTGGGACAATTTATTACCAATAAATATTGAAATAGTACACTTATAGTATAAGTATACTACAACGTTGATATTAGTATACTTACTAAACCTCAACTTTACAGAAGTTTACGTAATAAAATATATTTGAAGTACCGGCACTACATTCGTGTCTCTTATATCACTTTCCAAATCTGTTTTTCTGTCTTGTATAACTCCTAAAGGTGTAGTTCACTCAAAAATGTAAGTTCTGTCATAATTTACTCACCCTCATGTTCCAAACCAATATGATTTTCTGTCTTCTGTGGAACATAAAAGAAGACATTTTAAAGAAAAAAATTGGACCCTTATTGTAGGATTTTAATTGTACGACAACCTTCAAACATCATGGGTTTTAAAACTTTGTAAACTTTCAGACACAACTTTAAAAAATAATAATATATTTTTAATATATTTGATGATATTTATTGTCTGGTCTATGTGTGTTTATTTTCCTTTCGGCCAGGGACCATTTTGGCTGTGTCTCTTTAATTAGACAATGGGTCCAGGATGGATGCAGACCTGCAATGGCGCCTGGGACTGTGAAAAGAAAGTGTGAGACTGTGAGTGCAAGTGTGACAAAGAAAAATAGAAAAATATAGAGGGAGAGACAGCAGTGAACGCTCAGATGATGCTTGTTCATTACCTCTCTAATAAGATACCCTCTTTAAAGGCCTTAAAGAGCCTTTTACTGTCTGGTACATTCAATTATTACAGAGTTTAAAAATATGGTTTAAATATGGAAATGGATACAACAATTATATATTCATTTGTGAACAAATTGTGCATAGAATAAACTCCTGACAGGGTGGTCTTCCATCAGCCTGAAGGGGTTTATTCTGAGAGAACAACCGGGTGGATGTACATTATCCCGCTTATTACACGGCTACTTGCCACATAAGTAAGTCTTTAGAGGCGAAATATTGCTTTGAGTTGAAATATTTCATTAGGTCTTTAAACGCAAAGCTTCCGTGGAGAGAGCTAAATTCAAACTAGACGGACATTTAAGAGATACGCTATATATATTTTACTCTGGTAAGCGTATCCAAAGCAGAATGGTGGGAGAGGCATTAGACAGCAACATGCCCAGTGCATTATGGGTGTTGAAGTTTTCCTACCTATTTGGCAAATGGGAAGACAACAGACATGTTTCTGTAGTCAGGTAGCACTGATTTAAATTTTCCCTGGCTTTTTACTGTATGGGCAGCCAAGATTTATTGAAAGCCTATTTTACCAGTGGTGAGGTACCCATAATTTGAAAGAATTTTAAGACTTAAGACTGACTTACTGCCCCGCTGGAAGTTTGCTGAGGCCCCCGGGCCCCGGCCCCTGGTTAATAACCATTGCCCTAAAAGATGAATGCCTGATAGAACCCTTTAAGGCTCTATATGAACTTTTATTTAAAGAGTGATAATACTTATAATGCTTCATGATTCTCAGTTTTACGTCTTAAAGGGATAGTTCAGACAAAAATAAAAAATCGGTCATTACTTACCCACAAGATGTTCCAAACCTGAGCTCATTGTCACTATGAATTGTCATTTTTATGGAAAATATCTGCATGGTGATTCTACAAAAACTCACCTTTTGTGTTCCACTGAAAAAAAAGTTCCATAGAAAACATTTTCTGAATTT